GCATCCAAAAAACCACATGCATCGCAATATCGTGCCGTTGACTGTTCTGGCATTGACCAGGTAGGAGTTGTGAGGATGGATTGTCGGAGAAGACTTAAATAAAGATCGATAAACTTAAACGTCATTTTAATGACGTCACTGAACATGCCTTCACTTTTAATCTTTTGGACAAAGTTGCAACTCCCTCTCCAATGACCACAGGACGACCCAGACTAAGAAATTCTTAACTACATTAAACGTTCCATACTCGAAGGAAGAGGAAAATGTGCACACCACGTGGCAGCTGATAAAGAAGCAAAACTATAAATAAATTGGCAACGCTATAACCAAGCTCCATTATGTCCGAGTTAGTTTATTTACATAAGTCTGTGAAATGATTAACTTTTTCACAGCTTTTTATTTAAACTTGTTTTTCCTATTCATATTCTTAGTTCTTTCGGTAAAGTCACGTTGAAGGGAAACAATAAAATAATAATATATATAAAACAATAAAAAAATAAAATTAGCTGTTGATCTTGTTACTTTGCACATTTCCACCCTGCAATGTCCTGTAACTGCCGCCAATGCCGATGGTGTTGGGCTGTGGTCATCCTTGTAAAAATGAACTGCTTAGCTCAATGGGTCTTGCCAACTGAAATAAAGTCTGAGTCTAAATGACTAAACCACCTACCTCACTTGAAAGTATTAGCTCCTACAGCATTCATCACAATTCCATTCCATTTTATAATCATTGTATGCATTTTCCTGTTTACCAAGGTCTCTCTTGATAAATATACTTTTGGTCTCGATGGATTCTCAACTTGTTTTAAATAAAGGATTTTATAATTATTGTGTAAACTAACAGCTGGTGCTGCAGTACTTTATCAGCTATGAGTTTCATTAAACTACGCCTTGCACAACTCGTGACTGCTGCGGGCCAGATGAGTCTCAGAAGCCAGTACTGGTTTTTTGCTGTGCGTTTGTTTGGCATTTGCACAGTGGGCAGAATAAGTTTGTTTTCAAATTCTTCAAACACAAATGAGCTACCACAAAAAGCCAGCATTTTGCTAGAAAAGGCCATCTTGACAAACCAGCTGAAGGGGTCCCACAGATTTACAGCTTCAGTCACCCAATTACACCTTTGGCAATAAAAAAGGAGGGTCCACAAAGTAAAGAAAACCTAAAGTCAACTCGTGATTTAGGACAATTTAACAAGCGTGTCCTCGGACTTTGTTCCAGAACTCTGAAAGTGCTTATGTTCATTTGTGCAAGATGTGAGAAAATTCTGGCCAACTTGATAATTTTTTGTGATTGCCTCATTTATCCTTGTACAGAGTTCCGAGAGTTCACAAAAAATGTAGACTACAACATATTTATCCTGCCTTCTTGCCAAAATTCTAAACTCAAAAGGACCTTTGGACAGACGTGTTTTTTTTTCTGCGTAGACACCACAATTCTTACGAAGGAAATCTATTCGCTTTGCGTTTCACTTCACCATTGTTTATTCAATGTTCTGTCATTATACCAAACACACAGATCTCGTGAAAAAAAATTGGTAATTTTCCTTAAATCATGTCAATTAATTAGTAGCTTTGGGCATCGTGCATCTCAGGTGCACACTCGCACATGACTTCACACCTTGACATAGGCTGCCAACTTATCCTGTATGCCCTGCAGATCACCGGACAGATTTGTGATATTATCCGTCACCACCACCACTCCATCAAATCTGCACATAGATAGAAATGGGAGATGAACAGACATGAAGCCATCTCATTACACACAAGACACTTCAGCTATTAATGCAGCCACCTAAAAATGCACATCCACAGCCAATGACCCTTGTAAAGCCATACGGACTTTTAGGGGAAGTTCCATCAGCAATCAACTATTAAGGCAAAGTGTTCAATGTTGGTGGCTGTACAGCCTTTATCTTGCCAGTGCTGATGTTAGCACACCACACCAGAGGTAATTTAGCCAAAACCCACGAGAGGATAAGATGTATACCCCGTACAACCTATGTTATCCACGGCTGGGACTCAAACTCGGGTCACATTGCAGTTTGCTAAAATGGACGCCAGAAATTGCAACAACTGTCAAAAGGTAATTTTTTACGAGTCGACCATAAAAACCCCCTTTCTCGATGAGGCGTGCATTAATATTGTACTCTTACCGGTCATCTTTGATGGTAGTCACATGGACGATGTTAAGTGCCCTGCCAGAAATAAAATAAAAACTTCAAAAACACAGCAGTAAGCCCCCTCCATTACCACCTTGCAGGCATTTAGAAAAACCTTTGAGACAAGCTTGAGCTGTATAAATTATACTGCTAGCCAGACAACATGCAAAGCTGTATCCCACTGCAAGGGAACATTTTGCGAGTTGCAAAGTCAACCTTAAACACGTTTGTGAACTTAAGTTTTACTCTCTATTTAAATGTTGTTGCAGCAGAACACCTTTGCTGTTGCTGCTTATGATGATGTTAGATAATTATATCCCGAGTGGAAATGAGGTTTTTTTCCCCCCTCTTCATATAATCGTATCAATTACACATTGTCAATAACTGATCTAAACTATTTCCTTCAGGCGACACATTTTAAACCAAAATAATACTCCAATTCACACACCTCCCCTCCACCCACCTCCCTCAACAAGTGCAGTACTGTGTTAAATAGAGCCAGAGAGAAGTGGGGAATGGCTCTTTTCGAAAAAAGGTCTGCTGCTTCCTCTGGAAAGTCATAATTTCACAATTATACATCCGGGGAATATGGTCGTCAGTAGTCCACGCATTCGCCCCTCGTCAGTATGTTGACGTTACACAAGCGATTCTGCATTTGTAACGACAAATTTCCCTACTCTACTACGGATATTATAAAGTATGTGTATGCAATGAATATCAAGTATGGGGCCTTTCCCCTAGCCCTATACACACAGTACAGCACATTGCTGTGTCCAATGACAACATGCATCAGTGAAGCTCGTAAGACAGGGCTAAGTACCGCATAAATTTTTATTGAACGCTTTCGTGACCGCAGGGATTCAAATTCTTTGTTCTTTCGGTAAAGTCACGTAGAAGGGAAACGAAATTTTTTTATTGTTTATTTTAATATTTTATCGTTTCCCTTCGACGTGACTTTACCGAAAGAACCAAGAATATTAAGTACCGTTGTGTAATGATCAACGAGCATCTTAAATCTGCATTCATGTTTGCGAGTTTAGCAAACACAAGCCCCCCGGCTCTCGCGTAATCTGCGACGTCATTTAATGTCTGTTGAAGGCGAACGACACGGCGATCGATTCCTCGTGACGAGCTCTACACGATGCACTAATCAAAGTTTAAAAGTGTTTTTTGTTTCTTCTGCGCATTCGTGGACACGACAACAGAACGATGCGCGCCAGGCGGGTCGCGGCGTTTACGTGCCCGGTGGGACGGATTCGCCAAAAATTAGCTTAATTAAATTACACCAAGTTTGTCTTCTCTCTCATTAATTACGATTTTGACTTTCGTTTTATTCGGGACCCCAGGGTCCCGCCAATAAGGTTGATTTATTATGCAACTTAGTGTCTTGTTCATCAGAGCAATCTTACTCTTTGGTTCTTTGGGTAAAGTCACGTAGTTAGAAATAAAATAAACAACAAATCACGACGTTTAGATTGCACTTCAGCAAAAATACAAAATGTCTTGCTGTGGTTTCCCCACCTGATGACGATTGCTTGTGTTGCAATCGAAACGGTCGTGATTTGTTGTCATTTTATATCTATCTACGTGACTTTACCAAAAGAACCACCAAAGAGTATATGGTGTTACTGCAGTCACGAAAGCTTCAAATCAAGATTAGAGCAGTCTTAGTTAAGCCAGTTTTCAGAAACCCACTTGTTACATCACCATTTCTTCCGCTTCATATTCAACTTTTATATTTCGTGTGGTCTACGCAAGTTTAGGCACACACGTGACGTTCACCGTTTTATATATAGCATTACATTAAGTGCAACAAACCAATGTGGAGGATGAAGATGCACATGAAAGGCGATGCAGTCTATTTTATTATACAGTATTCTGCACATTCCCCACGATGTATAAAATATATGGGAAGTCGGAGTGCGTCTCTCTCATAACCCCGTAGCTGTGTGTGACCCTATGCATGCAACTCAATTGAGTTGCGTGACCAGATTGAAACGAATCGACTTGCCGAGTTAGATTCGTAACACCTATCAATAAATTAAACGGCGCTTACCGACAGCCAAAACGCATACGCACAAACAGGTTAATTTGTTTAAAAAATATATATCGCCAAGACGAATTAAAACGCGTACTGTTTGCAGCCGAACCAATTTAATGTTTGCCGAAGTCAAGTCACTCACCACACAGCCTCCATTGCAACACGCACAAGTCGAGTTCACTGCCTACAGCACGCGCACCTCGCTTTATAGTCCCCAGTTCACATGGGCCACACCCATCTAATTACATACATCAGATAAGCGCCCCTGTTTAACAATCCCTACAACCGATAGGCGTCCCACTCTTTTCTAGAACGCCCACTGCACATGCGCCGTCGCGAGTTGCGAATTCCCTACTGCGCATACGCGATTAGCTTTTTGCACTTCGTACAGCGGATACGCATGCTCACCGCCTTCCTCACGCGTAGAGTTCAATAGGCCCGGGGGTAGGGGGCGGGGCGAGGGCGTGACTTACCCCGCTCATCCAATAGGAAAGCGCAGGTAACGTCGCGGCGCCGAGCGCTCGAGACCCCATGTGCTCACGTGAAAGACTTGTGATTGGCTAGCGCTGAGGGGGGAGGGGAAGTCACGTGCGACGTGAATGAAAGAGGCGTTCTGATTAACTAAGGGTGGGTGGGGGTCCAAGCGCAGTGAATGAAAGATGCTTTGTGATTCGCTAAGGTAGGGGGGGAAGGCGTGGTTGCATGAAAGGAGGCTCGTGATTGGCTGACATTGCGGAATAGGAGTCTCGCGCGTGACCGGAAGCGCGGCTCCGCTCCACGTCGCGACGCCAGCAGGTGACGCTTCCTGTGCCGGGCGGGGTCATGACCTCGCTGCGTTGCCGCCCTAGGTCGACTCGGCCTTAAATGAGCTGCCCGTTGCTAAATGTACTGTACACACTGAGGAGACAAAGGCAGCAGGCCGGGCGGGTGTGTGTGCGTGCGTGCTCGCTAACGGCATTTTTGCCAGAAGTCTGAAAGGCTTAGCAGGAGTGTGTGCGCTTGCATTCGTGGTGTTGTCCGTACCTTAATAAGTGCTCGCTAACAGCACGTGCGGCTCTATAAGGACACATCTTCAGTGTGCGTGTGATGCATCTGAGTCGGGTGGCTGCCCTCTGCACGCTGGCTCATCACGCGAGCTCGAGGCTTCTCTGCGCACGCCTCCTGAGCAGCTGTGCCGGACCCTTCTCCCCCTCTCACCACCACCGCCGCTTGCAACATCCGCAGAAGCAGCAGCAGCGCCTACGTGAGCAGTACGCACAGCGCAGAGGCATGAGGCTCGTGCGCTTCAGCGAGACGAGCGGTGATGCTTCGCCCCGCCTGGGCTTGGAGCTGGAGGCAGGGGGAGACGTGGTGGCGCTGGGAGGAAGCCGCTTCCAGGGTGGGGACATGGTCGCCTTCTTGGAAGGCGGAGAGGAGGCGATGCAAGCGGCCCGGAGGTGCGCGGATGGGTGGATGGGCGATGAGCAAACACCGCCAACCACGGGAGAGGCGGAGCGGTGTTTGCGAGCTTCCCTCCTCTCGCCTGTTCTTCTAACGTGTTCTCAAAAGGTCAAATTTGGCCTTCTCGTCCACACCGTGGTTAAACCACCACCACCATAACCGCAGGTCGACACACTTGCTGATTGTCCCAGTCGTTTCCCTTGTACAGCTACACTTTTGAATTCACTCCTCATTGTCTCTCCCAAGTTGTTATAACCTTGCCCAAAACGCAAACCTGTCAAACCCCTATCAATTACTACCTTATTACAGACTAATTCAGACCTTATTGGTCACCCCGTGCCCTTATAAATATCAACGTTCATCCTACAAAGTCCCATCACAAGGGAGAAACTCAAATAGATAAAACAGTTTTTTTGGCCCGTGTTTAAAAGGGCTGTACGCCCTATGGACCTGAATTCATAAATTTCCCTGTACAAGAATGCGGGGTATAATCCTTATGGGTTGACAGCTATGAAAATGTGGCGATACAAAACCAGCGGTAAATAGATGGGCCTTTTCGGCCAAGACGATTGCGTAACACGTGCCACTTTTGTTTGTTACGTAACTGTTATTTACCAGCCCACTGAGCTATTTGTTCTTTTTCAGAGGCGACCTGGCCTGCACATGATAGCTCATTGAATTGGCTTATCACATCTGGGAATTTAGAGTAACAGACAAAAAAAAGTTTCTAAATGTGGAGGGGGGAAACTGAAAATCCACGCAACCACGTGAAGAGAGAGCGATAACGCGAACTCCAAATATGAAGGAGGCATCGTCAGGGTCCGGGGTCGAACCGACGGACTCCTGCATAGCAGGCAAGGGGGAGATTAATCTGTCTTGCCCCCAACAACACGCCTCGCGCGTACGACGTTATATCGTACAGTACGTCCTCGCTTAAAGCGTGGTGTTCACACGACCCGATTTGCAGAAGAACGCGGCTCTATCATTCGGGAACACTTCGCATAATGTGGAACGCGCACCAAGCTCTTAAGGCTAATGGTTACTCCGACTATACAATCCGCAAAGCTATCACTCAAACCATGAAGAAGGACCCTCTTGAGGAGCCTTTCAAAACCATCACTTTACCCTACATTGCGGGGATCACAAAAAATATCTCCAAAATCTTGAATAAACACAAGATCCAGGTCCGTTTCAACACATTACATAAAATCCGTGATCTGGTTGCGTCTGTAAAAGATGTGATTCCGGACATACAGTACCCTGGTGTCTATAAACTAAGTTGCCTCTGTGGTAGTAGTTACATTGGAGAAACCAAACGCCATGTCTCGGACCGCATTCGTGAACACAAAGCAGACCTTAAGCACGGTAGGACCAACACCTCGGCCGTGGCAGATCATTGTTATAATTCAGTAGGGTCATATGACATTGACTTTTCCAAGACAGAGGTTCTTTGTAAGCCATCTGGCTACCATGAGAGATTCGTTCATGAGGCTATCAACATATACAAGCACAGAGACAATTTCAACCGAGAAGATGGATTCTGGCTTAGCAATCATTGGAAAGATTTGATTAACCATTTCAGGTCTTAATTGATTGTTCACGCTTACAGTGGCATTCAGACAGCATACATTAATTTTTCGTCTCCCCCCTCCTCTTTTCAGAACATAGATGGACTAGTCCTTCTAAATAAACTGCCAAATCGCTGCGCGTGGCGCTGACGTTTTTTTATAAATAAATACACCGTTTTTAAAATAAATAAATTAATGCAGACCGACACACCTGATGACGACCGTTTGTGTTATGATCGAAACGTCGTGAGATTTTTTATTGTTTTATATATATTTTATTATTTTATTGTTTCCCTTCAACGTGACTTTACCGAAAGAGCTAAGAATATAAACTACTACTTTCTCGAGCCTGCACAGCCGAGTGATAGAGTAACGCAACGGTGTATCCTCCGTTATTAGCCCCGCCATCTCACTGCGCGTGTGCGTATTCGTGCATCGCATCTCGGCAAAACCTTATCGTGATGCCATTATGAATGGCTAAATAGTTTTCGCAAGACGCGGCGCTATTTCGGGAACGCATATCACGCGTTCCCTGTCCCCCCCGCGCGCCAGGTCGCTGGACCTGCGGGAGGTGGTGGTGCCCCGAAGCCGGCTGCGGCTCCACGCGCCCGTGCACCAGCCCGACAAGGTGGTGTGCGTGGGCATGAACTACCGCGACCACTGCACCGAGCAGAACGCGGCCGTGCCCACGGAGCCGATCATCTTCAGCAAGTTCGCGAGCGCCATCACGGGGCCCTACGACGACATCGTCCACTCGGACGAGACCAATGTCAGGCGGACGTTCGGAAACTCTCCGTTTGAGACGGGCGCCGCACACACGACTGTTACTCGCGCGCCGCATCTCTGTGCGAGGTCGCTGACCCAGTCGAACCTGGCTGAAGTAATTGCATGTTCTTGATTCTTAAGAGGATCCCGGAAAGTAAGACACTCTTCAAACTTGCGTCCCGTGTCAACAGAGTTGTGCAAATCTACACATACACACGGCACAGCACACCTACCGAATTATAAGCCACACCTCCCAACTTTTGCTTTAAAATACAGCGGAGGTGGGGGGGGGGTGTATGTTGAACTTCTTTCGCACCGTACGTAGCCAACCGCGCTAATCGGCCGCAGAAGCGCATCTTGAAAGCGCGCGATGCAGTGACCGTCTTTCTGCGATGGTTAGCCTAAAAGCTGCTGCGAGGATGGCCGGAGTTCGCGTGATGGTTGATGCTCCTTAACGAGATCATCAAGGTATTGGGAGGGGGAGGGAATGTCTTATAAGGAACGCTTGTGTAATGTGGGGTGCTGTAGAAACTTAATGACGCCTGCCCGCTTTGTACTCCCAGGAGCTGGACTGGGAGGTGGAGCTTGCATTTGTCATCGGGAAGCAGGGGAAGCGGATCGAGGCGAGTGCTTTTTACGTTTGCTTTGTTGCCCTTCCCCCGCACCTCCGATTAGCGCGGTTGGCCACGTGTGGTGCGAAAGAAGTTCAGCAAACGTAAATCCATATGTAGGGGTCCCTTGTCAACATACAGATACACGCCTCCTAAGATCACTGTCATATAGCATGCATGAGAGGGCGCTATTGACACACGCTCGCTGCCCTTGCACAAGCAAATCTGCGTGAGCCAACTTAGCCGCGTGGCTCAGCGGTCAGGGAAAGTAGAGTAAGCTGATAGCTGTGGAGATGCCGCGTTTGAATCTGTTACTTAAAACGTTCTTCATATTACCCCAATTTCACCCCGATTGTGCGATCCACGTTATGTCATGGGATGAGGCATCCATTTGGATCTGTCTCAGAAGAGCGCACACGACCCTTTGTGCGAGAGAACGACCCACATAAGTAGACACCACGGCTTCATCTGAGATCTCTTCCAGTGAGTCTGTTCCACAAAGGAAGGGGCAGCACTTTCCCACCCACTCTGCCACCGATAGTAATAATGTTAATTGTTTGATAGTCCAACGGATAAAAAAAAAATGTCAGAGCTGTAATTTTAAGCAAATGAAGTGCATATGGAAACTTAACACGTTTTTGTGCAGTTGTTGGTCGAGACAATCAACTCCCTGCACTTTTGAGGACCCAGTTTAATTACTGGTGTGGTTTCCATGGTTAGGCCCGGACTGGCCTCAGGGCAGCAGTCTGAGCAAATGCTCGGTGGGCTGGTCCATTCCGAAGGCCGGTCTCTTTCAATACCTCAAATGTGTATGCTGCATTTATTATTTACGCTCTCAGTTGGCATTAAGGCCCATATTAAGCAGCTCCAAATATTATTCCTCACCGGCCCATTTATTTTTTGCACCAGCCCAAATGGGCCAATGGTATGGCACGGAAATGTGGGCCGGTGTGTTTACAAATTCCTAGACCGATTTATCAGTCCCAATCCGTCACTGTCCATGGTGCACTATTATCATTATTAGTACGTTGGTCATTGTTGTTGGCAGGAGGCGGCGGCGATGAGCCACGTCGCGGGGTTCACGGTGGCGCACGACGTGAGCGCGCGGGACTGGCAGATGCGACGCAACGGGCGGCAGTGGCTGCTGGGAAAGACGTTCGACTCGTTCTGCCCGCTCGGCCCCGCTCTCGTCACGCCCGACGAGCTCTCTGGTACGGTTAAGACACGCCATCAACAACAACGTGCAGTGTTGTCTTGTTGTTGTGTAACAAAAAAATGGCTTGAATTAATGCCGGGTTAAACCCTTTCGCGTTCCGAGATGTCCGCAAGGGGTGGGTCCCGTTCACCGCTGAATCTCGGAACGCGCAAGTGGTTAGCGTTAATTTTATTTAGAGGCGTAGTAGCGCCGTTTATAAGATATTGTACTGTTCTCACCACAGAGAACTGTAGCGACACGACCGCACTCTACTATAACTGATGCCAAACTGTGCCACATGCCCTCCCGCACGGCCTTTTACTTCAGATTCCGTTCCGAATCAATTCGAATCCATTCGGAATGGGAAGAAAAACTGATGACGTGTACATACATACGTCATCGGAACGAGAAAAGGTTTACTGCCAAAATATCATAGATAAGGACCATCTAAGATATGAGTCTTCGTTTGACGCAAATATATATCTGTTTCTCCTGATATTTCCCACGTATCTATTTTGTTGCTTATATTCTCCACAAGGAAGCCAGTGATTGTTGCGTTAGAATTAACGTGGCAGTCTAACTGCACTGAACGCTGTGGTCTCGTCGTGCCCAGACCCGCACAAGCTCGGCATCCGTTGCCGGGTCAACGGGCAGCTCGTGCAGGACAGCAGCACTGAGCAGTTGATCTTCAAGACGGAGGCGCTGATTGCCTGGGTGTCCCGGTGAGTTTCCACCAAAGGCAAAGGTCCCCTCTCAGGGCATTAACATACTGTTGGGGCAAGTGTTGTTGGTGGCCACCTGTAGGCGAGTTGCCACAACGATCTGCACAAATAATACGGTTAAAATCCAATACCGCATGATGGCAAAGGGTATTTGCCTTCAAAGTTTGGGAGTTCACCAACATTTATGGAAGAAAGTACGACTGCTATGAGGTTGTATGTTGAAACCGGTCCAGATATTGCTTGTACTGAATTATTGCTGCTGAAATAATTCACTGCCAGAAGGTCCGTGGGGCCGATTTGTTGAGTAAAGAATACTTGGATTTTTATTTACGTGGAGAGAAATATTTGAAAGGAATTACTGATCAATTTCGTTAAAAGCTAGTTAATTGATTCACCTGCAATTGAGTGAAGTGTCATGATTGAATAAATTCCATTTAAGAAGCGAATCTGCTCATTTGTCCTGTTCATGTCTCATTTGTTATTCGTGTCATTTATTGTTGTTTACGCCATTTGCCTAAATTAAAGAGCATATCATTTTTATCGAACGTCCATAAATTAAAACGCTTACACACATAATTTGATGCATGTACACGGAGCGTTAAGAATACAGTGTAACGACGAATCGATGCGTTGTTACCTGCCTTCTGGCTACACATCTGCAGGAAGGGACCGTTAGTTTTTGTTTGAGGTTACATCTTACCTTCAGTGCAGCATTGCATGTGCACATGGCTGGCAGTGAAGATCCCCCATCAGGTGAGCTTGCATAGCTTGCTATCTATCGCATTGCCCCCCCCCCCACGCGTTCGTGCAGGTTCGTGACCTTGTACCCGGGCGACGTCTTCCTGACGGGCACTCCGCCCGGGGTGGGCGTTTTCCGCAAGCCCCCCGTCTTCCTTAAGGTAACATTCCAACCCCCCCCCCCCCACCCTGGGGTGCTGACGTTGGCCTACCGAGCAACATCGAAAATATTCTGGGGGGGGTAATCGATGAGAAAGAAAGTAAACTGCGGTGGGCAGAGTTGTACATGAGCTGCCAGGCGGTTGTTGGCTATGCACGTGGCCTGTAATCCAGCGGCGTGGTGGCAGCGAGGGTTGGGTGGATCATGGCACATGTTAGCATCGAGGTGCTATACCCTAGTTGGCCAGCAGAAAGCGGTACAGCATCGTGTTGCCTCCGCACCCCCCTTCTACACGTGAGTTTTCTCTGGATGCTCTCGTGTTTCCCCACATGTAAACGCTCATTAATTGAAGAACACCGTCATATATAGAGAACTGCAGAGCTTGGTGCGGGGTCACCGTGTGGTTGCCTTCCCGCTCGTCTGTGGTTCCCCGCGCCTCCGAGTCGTGCCGTCTTCTCTCCGGGCGGGAGAAATATAACTGTGCGCTTTACAAGTTGAATTTAACAGGTCCCTGCAGGGTGGGCTGGTAGGACAAGTCTCTGCGCTGTCTATTGCTGATTTTACACCCAACAGCACGAGATTTCACTTCGTTAAAGTATTGAAAGGGGACGGACGGACGGACACATTAATCTATTGCAGGCTGGTACACTCAGTTTACAACTTCGTTCCTACCAGTATTAATTTAGACTACAATGCAACGCCGTGGTCCATAGAATGTTTGGAGATGTTGTTTTGTGCCTCATTTTGCTTTCATTTTATGTAGGACACTTCAACTCTGTGCGTGTAGCATCTGCTGCTCATTATGCGAACAAAGAAGTAGAATCAACGGCACTAGTCCCGTTTTAAAATTGGTTGTGGCTTTATTCAACTATGGGGCAAGGGATAATGAAACCAGAAGTATTCGTTTTTATCTTTGGTTATGTCAATGGATTTTTTTGTACCTGAACATTACTTGATGTTTTTTTTCTCTTTTCTAGAGAGGAGACATGGTGGAGTGCGAAATTGATCAGATTGGATCCATCGCAAACAAAGTGGTGTAGCGAAGATCGTCGCCAATTCTTTGCATTGCAGTTGCTTGTTTCGACCACTTAAATTGTACACAAGCCAATCTTTTTCATGCAGATTTGATTATTGACGCCACCCGTGCGACAAAAGTGCGCGCGCAAATCTGAGAAGACAACTACTTGTAGCTTTTGGAATTGTCACGCACCAGGTATTATCTACGCAGGTAACCGCGCAAAGCGCACGCACGGACTCCACCGAGCGTCGCCCATGTATTATTTGTCAAGACATTTGAGGGACTACTTTCGGCGGTGACGTGGCCGAGCGGTCCCGTGTTTATCGCTCGTTGCATAAGCTTTCGGTTCTAGGCCAGCGGCCGCCCTGGTAAACACTGCCGAGTGGACGAACGAAACGGGCGGTTCGCTTGACAGTGGCCATGTGCAGCCGGCTTCATGGGCTAATCATGAAAATGCCCCCCCCCCCCCCCCCCCCAAGCTGTTTTGGGTGAAATAATTTGTCATGGTCATCTACAGGAGAACTCTGTGGGATTATCCACAGTTTTATTCCCTTCAACTGCTGGGTAAAAAATAAATCGTGGATAACTGGAGGTTATATCACGAATTTGCTGTGCCGGAGGGAGGGGGGTGGGAAGTCGCAGGCATTCAGAAGCCGCTTTGCCATGCATTTAGTAAAATAGCGGATAATAGAAAGAAATAGGGCCGTGGATTAGTTTTCGTGGACCATATAGCTACAACAAATAGGAATGTCGAATTTCTTTCCCACTCTACGTAGCCAACCGTGCTAATAGGTGCGAGTCATGGGTAATAGGGCCGTGGATGAGTTTCATACCGAGACAACTGCAGACGATACTCGTCTGTGAAACATGGCGCCTCCATGGTGGCCTTGTGCTCAAAGAATGTAGCGAGTACCAAATGTGCCAATGATCTGATTCGAAGTGCTGTTGAAGAGCCCCCATTTACTGAGATTGCCAAGGTTAGGGACTCACCCCTGCATCCCCCACACCGACTGGGTTAGTACCGCCTTTTACACCATTCCCCAATGGAAACAGTGTGGAAGAGTTGAACCAATAAAGTTGTGAACACCCACCCACCGAATTTATTCCGTAGGCACAAATCGTGTTCTGCGAACACAATACAATAAAAAAAATCTTGCATATTTTGTCGTGCCAAATGTGTTTTTCTTGCTTTTACTAAAACAGCACTTGGCTATCTACACGTTGTTGAGCAAGTGTATCTGTTAACACGATACAAGCGAGGTCTATTTACAGCACGTCTGTAAATAGCGTGCACCTTGGGGACAAGTTATGCTTAGGAATTTGCTTCTCTGCCACACCTGCACTATTAACTTCACCCAGTCACATCGCGCATCGCCGTGGTGCAGATTCGGCATAGCAATGCAACGTTGAAAACACTAAACGCCGTTTAATACTGGTAGGAAACGTAGCGGACTGGAAGCCCAACCGGGATTAATTCACAGGAGGCAGGGGATTAATTGTGTATGTCTGTGGATGTCTGTCCACGTGGGAGGGGTGGGGCTGAGTGGAGAGGGGAGGGAGGGGCTGGGTGGAGAGGGGAGGGAGGGGCTGGGTGGAGAGGGGAGGGAGGGGTGGGAGGGGCTGGTCATACCGTGGTGCCCTTAGAAAACTCAACGTTTAACCTACTTACGCCGGCTTGTGCCCGCCCCTCAGTTGGGCATATTTGCAGAATACACCACGCCGCTATTGACCCTAGCCATTGACCAAGCAACCGAACGATCCTACCAGCTCCCTCCACAGGAATGTGTTTTTAGATTTTCCTAATCGGCCATGATCTGTCGACTGCTGGATGAATACATTGCCTAAACTATCACCATCTCTCAGCCTAGTGATGCGAGTCAAGTTCCTGCACGAGTAGATTGCAATGTGTTCAGGCAAACATACTGCCCCTTCGATGGGTTACCACGTCTGATTGCCACTCTTATTCACATCCGTCTCTACCCAGCGCTGTTTACTTTACTCAAGTCAAAATTATACAAGTTTAACTTGCACATGTTCTCCAATCCATGCATTCCCTTCCGTCTCCAAATGTACTTTTACGTGGACGTTGCCTTCATGCATCGTTACACAATTTCACCTGTCATTGTTCCAACTTGTCCAAATTGTTCCGATCCGAATGAGATCATCTGAACAGACCGCATGTGTAGTCAGAAATACTGGAGGCACTTTATTTAATGAGCACCATCTGGATATATACACATCTTACGTGGGCGCACACTATTATAATTAAGATAGTCTTTTGTCGGCAGTACTACTTAGTAAGAACAGTTGGTAGGCTAACAGCACCCCGGGATGGTGAGGACGGAGATGACGACGGTGTTGAACAGCCACGACGGTGATTCCACTTCCAGCAACAGCCCCGAGCTCCCGCTCAGGTCCCCCTCGTATGCTCCCAGCGTGGCCTTGCTCCGCCCTGGCCACGCCCCGCTTCTGAAACCTGCTAGCGGGTTCCCGGGACTTCCCGATTGGCCCCTTCTATGAACTTTCCCCTAGACGTCCCCCTCTCGTATATACCGTGGCCTGGTGACGCCAGTACTGCCGTATACTGCAGTTACCCCTTTCCGCCAACAGCCAACTCTATACCCCTACACGTATAAAATTAACCACTTGCATCCCCGGTAATATGCGTACAACTGAAATCAATATAGCTTTGCAACTCCTTGCCATTATCAAGGTGCGGAGACCTTGCTTACTCTCCAACGGTCTAAAATTGGCCATCATCCACTCTCATTTTCTGACTTCCTTAGTCTACTTCCCACCCTCACTCTCCCAGTTCTGATAATCTTAATCAGTTCAAGACCTGCGTGATCGCAAAATACTTTTAATGTTGCCGACCGTTGATTTACAGTACAGGTCGGTAAAAGCCTTCGAGGCCTTTGCTCGGCAGCTTTGGAAAATTAACATTCCACCACCCATTGCAATTCTCCATGCAGTGAGAGGACTCCACTCCATTCTTTACCTCTTCCTCCGTTCCAGACTTCACTGCCTACATATGAACAGGTAATTGCTGCAGCGGCTGCGTTTGATGTAGCTTCCTGAAACATTCAGAAAAATTATATTCATTAAAGTTTAAACATGTATTTAAGAAAGGAATTTCTCAACCAACAAATATATTTCATCTGAACCCTCAAAACCCTAATATATTATGAACTAGTTTTTGTTTAATAGAATCCCATTCCTTTTGCATCATATCCCTGAAATTAATTTGCCTGCAGGTTATATTTGGAGCATTTCTTCACAAAAGCCACCTTGGCAGATGGAACCAATCACAAGACACAATTTGCATAGTGTAATTCACTTATAGCAACACGTGGAGAGGTGGGGGGGGGGTGTTTGTTAAGAGCCAATAAACATCAACACTGCTGCAAACAGCGAGCAATTTATCTTATTTTTGGCATTATGCTCTCCTCGGGATACACCTGACAATGGAAGTGGCTGGGTTGGTATAATAAATGGCCGTGTCACAGCACCTCGCTGGCACAATGGCATTTTGTAATTGAAGCTCGGTTTAAAATCCACTTGCGATAAAAATCAGGACTGTGCCACATTTGTAAAATAAAAAGTGGGGTTCCCCCCCCTTCGGCATTTTCCAATGCAGAGTGCTAAAAAAATCAGTGTGCCGCATCAAGAGATGGACTGGGAACATACTTTGCCATGCCGGTCAGTGTGGACCGCCAAAGTGGAGGCCTGGGGGACCGGTTTATATCACTGTGCTGTAAATTTAACCAAATTAAGCACAGAAGCAAAAATTATTGGTGATCGGGCCACAACCACCAACTCGCTGCACGTGGCCAAAATAAAAAGGCAACTGCGTGGATTCAAAGCCATGATCGCAGCGGTGCCAAGTCCAGGATCTCTGATCTCCGAGGCCTTGCTTTAAACATCTCGTTTTGGTAAACCTTCAAGGCCACCAGCAATCAGGCACGCACGGGCAGGGAACAGAGGAGCAATGGAAACACCACGCCTGCCGGCCCGTCCACTTGCATGCACATCACAAAATAAAAAAATAGCAGTCGCCATCTCAAGTTGATTATTTTATTATCAAAACAACATTTTTGGGTACTTGTAAAACACATTTCATATGAATCTTTCTAGGAATCATTTGGGTTACATTTTGCTGTTTTTTCGCTTTCTTTTAATTCATTTTCTGATTCAGCCGCACGATGAGCGAAACTGCATTTTATATTTTATTTTCCTTTGCACTTGTCAAGTTTTTAAAAAAATAACGGCAGGCAAAATGACAAATCAAAATTCAGTTAAATCTAGATCTGAAGTTTTCGTGACTGCAAGGATCCATAACTCTTTGGTTCTTTCGGTAAAGTCACGTAGGTATAAAACAAAATAAATTAAATCACGACGTTTCGAAAGCCACAGCAAGAAACAAATTGCTGTGGCTTTCCCACCTGATAACTGATGCTTGTGTTGCTTCCAAAACGTCGTGATTTTCATTTATTTTGTTTTATACCCACGTGACTTTGCCGAAAGAACCAAAGAGTACAAAATTCAATTACTCTGCTGCTGTGCCTGCGGGCACATTGGATTTAAACGAATTCTCTAAAACACATCCGATAATCCACCTTGTTTGATGCCACTCCTTTGGACATGTAAATTGCACACCAACCGGTAAACAAGGAGGCAAAACGTCAATATAGAAACTTAAATCAATGAATGCTTATAATGCACGGCATCAAATTATGTGTGGCCTCTTTTCTGTTTACACAATTTACGCAAACGTTTCTATTGTCGCATTCGGGTCAATGAGCACAAGTGGAAATAACGAGATTTTAAAAATATACAATTGTTGTTGCAAACAAATTGCGACCACGATTATTAAAAATTTAAGGGAGTGCCTTCATTGGTGAGATGCCAATGAAATCAAGAGGTGAATGATGGGGGAGAGGAGGATGTTTGATAAGCATTGTCAATGCAGCAGCAGCAGGTAAGTGAAGGCACAAACCAAAACACAGCTCTTGTTCCACAGATGCAGTCTGGCTTATGACCAAATCGTCTGGCATGAACCCGATCCCCGTCAGAGCTCGCAAGCTTAAGCAGGATGGCGCCTGGATAATGCTTGGATGGCCTACCACCATGCATAGAGGCATTGTTGGCTGCAGGGCTACATAGCGAACGTCTGTTTATGCCCCACGCCTTCAACCCGTAAAGTTACCTGCATTTTTAATTATGGTCAAACTCCTGCAAACTTGGAACCATCCAGCAGTGGATCGATAAAGGGCCATACACCTACATACGTAGTGGTACCCCCCTATGCTGCCCGACACGTTTGAAGAGATGTTGAAAACCAAACCAGTCCAAGACATCGTACGAGACAAAGTCTCATACAATTCTACTGTGGATGTGAAAAGCCTGCTCTTTAATGTTAATTAGTTGTGTAGTACGGAACTGTCCCCGACAGGAGAATGAATCCTCATAAAAAATCGGCTACGTATCTGCAAAATAACAAGGGTGTGTTTTGGCTCGAGCCTTCCTTTAAAAATCCAACAACTCTCCCGTCCCGCTAACACACACACGATTCGGTTATCCAAACAACCGCCTGCTCAGGTGCAAATTCAGCAAATGCACATGGATGCATCCATCTGCAAATTGACATGCGCTGAAAAAACAAATCCAGATAAAGCAGATGTTGGGTTTTGCAACCTCTTGGTTGCTCAAGTTTTACCAGGCCTACCCCCCCACACACACACACCCCCTCCCCCATTCCATAACGGGCACCAAGTCGCGTTTTACAATGCGCTTGCAAGCGTTTAGTCAGGAACGCCGCAATCCGTCGGCAGCGGCATGGCTGTGGCGACATCGAGGTTCTTCTAGGTTCACCGTCGACCTTCTCAAATAGACGGCTTGGCAAGGTTGGATGGAGCCAGATTGTGACTACATGGTTGGGTTTTGGGGGAATAAATCGTTTTGCAAGAAACGTTGTCCAAGTGGTTCTGCTGTCACCGTGGCGAGAATGCGAATCGGGCACATGGGGGGCGGGGGTGGGAAACGGTACCAACGGTACACGGGGCGCATCCGTTCATTACGAGCATCGTCCTCCAAACGATACTTGTTCATTTGCAGAGTTAATAAGACTTTTATTGTGAAATTTTAGCGAAATTCATTGCAACGAACGCCACGGGTACCGAAGTTGGCACGGCAAGCTACGCTTCTTCGACATCGTAAGCAGTGTCTTGTACCAGCGAAAGTTATTAAAACAAAAGTTGATTAAGAAAAACAAAATGTGCAACAACCTTTAAAAATGAATTAATTATACATGAACGCAAAATAAAACCCACACCTTTATCACACGTCATATCAGCGGCGAAGAGATAACCATGCCTTCTGCCACCGCAGATCCGAACCAGTTTTATTAGTACGCCTTCTCACGATACGCTATAGGGCCCTTTCACCCACCTGTGCAGTCGAGCAAAATTCATAGTGCCTCTATAACTCATTTGGCTATTTAACACTCTGCATTATAATTATGATGGTTACAGGTTAACATCAACGGCAAGGTCTCACGATTGCAAAGTGTTGAGTTCAAATCCAAGTTAAGCTTGAATCGTCCCCCTGGAGTAAGTTGAGACCGCACCAGAGCTGGCGAGTGAGACTGCACCACCAATTGGAAAGTCATAAACGGACGTCATATGGACAGGTCTGTTATGCATGTCGAAGCTTCTTTCGCATCGTACATGCTAATCGGCGGTGCATGGGAAGAACAACAAAATAAACAAATCTGTCTGGATCCTGCCTTTGAAATGTGAATTTTCACACCAACAGAACAATGGGCAAGGCGTAGTAGTGTGCGGTATTGTTCGAAGCATGTGGGGTGGGGGGGGGATGCTCATCTTATGGATGTGTTTTGTCAACTTCCCAGACCACTGGCAGTGCATGTGATCAGGAGCTGACGGGGGATTTCAAGGATGATACTTGTCCCTGCGCTTATGCAATTGCAGCTGATTCCACACCCTTGTGCAGTGCCAAACAATAAAAATACAAGGAATTATCTTTAAACCAACTAAATCAGACGAACCCCGTAATCGGCACTGTTCAAATTCACCGCACAAGAGTCAACCGAGATTAAACCATCCGCCGTAATAGGCAGCGATCTGCACTCCCTGGCGGATGCATTCTCCCAAACGCAAACAAAAAGTCGACTCGCGCTTGTGATCGTGCGCGCCAGGAGCCAATCGCCACATTTCCTTATCAACCAGAGAGTACGACACAGGGTGCAGCAACGCGCCGCGCCCTCGCACAGCGCGACGCGGCTGGTGCCAGTGCAAAGCTTTGATGGGACTGCCGGCAGAGGGGAAGGCGCTGATATTTAGGGCTCGAAAGCAAACTTTTTTTTTTTTAAATCGCACGTCGTTTTAAGTTCGGTCGAGCGAATTATTTGTCTTCGTCGATGCTGCCGTCCACAGGAGACTTCTTTCTGTATATGTGCAATAGCACATACTAATGTGGGGGGGGGGGTGGGGAAGGGGGCAACAGAAATTTACCCCACAAAATCATTGCGCACATTCAACCGGGGCGACGGCAAACCTCCTGGGCGAGGGCCTACACCCGTACCCCGTACGGATACCCATGTACAGCCATGTGGAAGTCGACCCCATTCATTTGGGGGACTCCATCGCCTCGGCTTCCGTACACTCACTATGTGTTGATGAACAAGGTTCCTCCTTTGTTGGGGAGGGCAGCATTGACTAGAAAAACTATATATATTTTTTACCAAGGTACAAAATCCTAATATCGCATATCCTGGCCATGTACACTCATCACAAATGCATGTTCAAGGTAGCTTTGTATTGTGGTTTTGGTCGACTATAATCTGCTTTTTTAGATGCATATATATACACACACACAGGCACACCACAGATGCACACTCGAACTAAAAAAATTAAACGGCTCGTCATTTCACCGTTACGCAAATGATCAAAGCGTTGCCACGATATCTGGTCCACCATACCCCCACAAACTGTGTGGTAGACCTCCCCCTCGCACAAGCGAATAATGTACAGATTCATTAGGTACAGTATAAATAACACCACCAACCTCGGGGCCCCTACGCTTCAAATGTAAAAAGAAAATAAATAATCGGCCATGAAAAGCACTACACACTGGAGGGGGTTTGGCGAGCCAAGCACACACCACAGGGCACGTGCGCGCAAGCACAGGGCCAACGCAGAAAATGACTTTGCTCAGCAGATCTTCCGCGTGCCGCTCTCCTTTAAAGGAAGTCCCAAGGGGTCGTTCTACGGGGTGATTCCGCAGGACTTGCGATGAGGAGCAGCGTTCGTGTAAACGCGCCGGATGCCGGAACGCGAGATGGGCGTTACTTTTTCACGGAGTTCCGTGATGTGCAGCGAAGTGTAGTGGCAATTTCATCAGCAGCCGCACACTGAACCGGCAAGGCAGTGTCGGGTGGAGGGGTCGCCAGGCGATTCTCTTTAAAAAGTCCAACTTCAACTGCCGCCTCTTTCAGCGAACAGCCTGGGTACCCGCCGTCCCACTGGTTACCTCTACATGCCGTGCTTGGCAGCCTTGAGGAGGCTGTCAAAGTCCAAGGAGGCCATCGCCGTCCTTCGGTCGGTACTCCTCTCCAAGCCTCGGTTCGAGTCTGCACCAGGGGATAACATGGAAGGCAGTGGAGGAGGGGGGGTGGAACAGAAGCGCAGAATCCATGAGCTAATGGACACATCGCCATAATCGCGGTGCCGAGTAAATTAAGTAAATCTGGTCACAGGTACAGATACCACTAGCAGATTTAAACGACTCGCCCATAATATTTTCTCTTAAGTAAAGGGGAGAATATGGCCCAAATTTGACTTCCGCAAGTCAACTCAAATACAGCTTCACGCACTTACATTCGGGTCCCGAGGGTTGTTGCCGTGCGAGTAATGGTCAACGCACTGGACTTGCAATGCATAGGCCACCGGGATTTGACTTCATCTCCCGGCACAGCAGTTGAAAACGATGGTGCACACCCAGCAATGTCAACCCAGCAGTTTAAATAGATAACGGCACAGTTGGCGCATGGTGGGGTTTGGCTTACTCTTCCACTCCTGCCAAATAGAGCTCCCTCTGGTAGAGGCTTTTCCCCGCCGGCAGTGGTGCGAGCAAGACAAATGCAGGGCTGTGCATGTTTACCTTTTTTCAGCCTTCCATAAGGGTCTAAAAATGATGATTGTCAACAAGCGTTCTTTTTTCGTAGTTTAGACTTTTTATAACACAAAACATGCGTCCCTCTGATGTGGGCTTCAGAGGGTTTTTCACAAAGCTGTAGGTGCTTCACATGTCCTGGTTTGGCATATCATGATAAAAGACAGCAAGCTTTAAAAGGTTTTGTTAAGCATCAATCCTTTCAACCGCCACTTCAGATCGAGTTTCTTTATCAACGAGTTGTCTCAGGCAATTGCACGGCCATAGAAACACGGGGACAACGACGAACGCTGAAAACAAACTGCACAATGGAGCACGAGTAAATGCATGCTTAGAATAGCAGACAGAAGAGCAGCAGCTCTGTGAATATCGTGTTGATGGGGGGGGGAAATGGAGAGGTCTTGTTGCAGGATGCCTTGCAAGAATGAACGATGGGCCAAGGACGAATGGGCAGGCAAAGGGGAGAACGCGTCCGATTTGATGACTGCCGCGTAGATGGGGCAATGAGTTCAGCTCAACGCATATAAGCGAGATTAATTGCGGCACTGCAAGACTGACGAATGAAAACGGCACGGGGGAAAGTAAAACAGGCAGCAGTGGACAGAACACGGCTCAGGATTCTGATGACTATTGCAACTGGCAAAGATTCACGTGATCGAGATGGGGGTATCCGGGATGGGGGTGGGTCACAGGACGTGTGGATCGAGGGGGCAGCGGCAAGTCGAGTACTCAGACGGCTTACCCAGGTCGGCGTAAGACGCCTTGCAGAACTGGCGACGGCCACCAAAGCACAGGTCGAAGGGCATCTCATTGGGCAGGTGCACCAAGTGGCCTTTCTCCAACGCGGCGAACGCGTCGCAAGTGAAGCGGTAAGTCACAAAACCGTAGTTGTCCCTGCGGAAACAACATTGGAAAAAAGCGAATGGGAAAAAAATGGAAAATGAGACGCACGGGCAAAAGAGCCACGTTCCGAGAGACGACGACGACGAGACTACACGCAGCGACGTCACAGGCAGGAAAGCAGAAACGCGTAGAAGCGTGACAATTACCCTCGGCCGAACAGCCTTATTCATTAAAAGCGCCACGTTTTACGTAATCCTTTAAAACTCGATTTGGGTCGGGAATTTTTTTAAAAAACGACAACACCACACGTTTCAAACTCAAACGCCATGAAATAATTGATCGCCTCTATAAAGAGTTACCACGATTCCCGCGTAACAGACAGTGGCATCGACGCTTTCGACCCGAGCTGGAAAGGCACGAAAGAGAACCGCGGTTTCCGAATCGCGCTCGCATCGCCGGCGCCTTTGGGACAGTCTCGCCGATGCGGCCGTTTTGTACACAGGCATTAGAGAGAGCGAGGGGGGGGGGGGGGACTGGTTGCCATGGTGCGAGGAGTACCCGCGCTCGCGGAAATGCACGCTGCAGTTCTCAATCTCCCCAAAGGACTGGAAGCGTCGCCGAAGCTCCAGCGTCGTCATCCCGTTGTTAATTTTCCCCACGTAGATGACGCGACGCTCCTCCTGCGAGTGGGGCATGGGGAGGGGGGTGACAGCGACGAACGCAACCAAAAATTATAACGATGACAAAACGATGACACGCAAAATCAACCGTCAATGATTCCGAGATACCGGCGCACACGAATCACGGGTGACAGCTGCAATTCTAGAGTGTGGATAAGACGGCAAAGCCAGCTTTTTGCAAGACGAATAACCAAGTAAACAACGCGGTCGAGGGGCATCTTCAGGGGTAGGAAGACGTGCGCAGTGGCCTGGGGAAAAAAAAACACGCACCCACCCACCCCCACCACAGCACGGAAGCTGGGGGTTAAAGGGCCAGGCGGGCTTACAATGGCTTTCTGGTGCAGTCGCCGCCGCTGCTCTAGGATGTTGCTCTCGCGTCGTTCGAGCCATGGCCGCTCGCTCCGTCTCTCGTACGCGTCGTACCTGCGCACCACGGGGGGGCGGGAAAGAGTGGGGGGGGGGGGGGGGGCGGAGGGGTTCAACGTAAGCGTGACGTCTCGACGAGGGCATGCGCCGGTCCCTCTCTTGTAGTTCAAAACACAGCCCAATTGACGAGCGATGAAGTTGGTCGCAGGTAGATTTGAATCCAGGTTGAAGCCGCCTGGAATTGAACTGGGCTCACGAGTGTAAAAGCTCGTCATTGGCCTCAACCCAGTCACCAATGATTGCGCATAAACCATAATACGTTAGAATTGGTTTTGCACGTAAATTCCAGCTCCAAGGGGAATATATACATCTGTAACTTACGCGATGAACATTACTCCTCACATGACGCCCCATATACTGTGGCGTTGCTCAGACATCACTTTCACAAATCTCAAGGCATAAGTAGAGCTGTCATGTCAACTTCTGCGGCCAATTGTCTAAACACCCAGGGTGAGAGGGGCGGCCGGTGGTAAACCTCTCGCTCTGCGAGAGATCCGCTCGTGCCACGACGAAGGCACAACGCGAATGAATCCGAGGAGAGAAACAATTACGAGCCACGACCTCCGCACGGACCTGGGCGAGGGTCGTCGCGACCGCGGCACGTCCGAGGAGAACGACGGCACGGGGGACACCGATCGCCGATGCGAGGACGACGTCGTCGACGAGGACGAGCGGCCCCCTCCGCCGGCGCGGTATCGCCGGCCGTACCCGGACCGCGAGCGGCTACGCCGGCGGCCGCGTTGGTGGGGGGAGGCGGCGGCCGCCGACGGCGGGGACACGGAGTCGCGCCGGCCCGGCGAGCTCGAAAGGGAACCCCCGCCGGCGCCGCTCGTCGCGGCCCCGTGCCTCCTCTCGCCGCACCGGCGGTCCTGCGAGCCCCGGCTCCTGGTCCTGCGGCGCCGGCTCCCATCTTCGGCGTCGCCGCTCGTGTCCGTGTCGCTGTTGGCCGTCTCCTGGCCGCAGTCGGCGTAAGGAAGGTTGGAGACCTTGCTGGCGGCGCTCAGGTACACGGGCAACTTGGAGTAGTAGCGCCGGTGGCGGGCCGCCTTGCCGGGCGACCGCTCCTCGTCGCTGGCCGAGCTGTACTCGTCCGACGTGCTAGTGCTCCTGCGGCTGCCCCTCTCCCTGCCCTCCGCCAGCCCAGCCGCTGCACGTTCTGCTCTCAGCGGCTGGTACTTGGGCTCGGGCAGAGACTTGCCGCTTCTGTAGTAGCCGGGCAGCTTGTCGTAGTAGCCGGGCTCGTCGTCCTCAGAGTCTCCGCCGCTGCTACTGCTGCTGCCGCCGCCGCCGCTGCCGTTAGTACTGCAGCAGCTGCTTTCCTGCGCGGGCGGCGAACTCCCCCGATCCGCTTCCTCTCCTCCTGGTGCTCGCGTGCGGTACTGCCGCTTGAGTTTTTGACCTTCGTCCCGCCGTGGTTCGGCGTTGGCCGGAGCCCCGGCGCTCTCCGAGACGGTCGCCGCGGCGTTGCCCGCGGTGCTTTGCTGGCAATAGTCGTGATCGCGCACGTTGGGGATTTGAATCTCGGCCTCGCGTTCCACAACAGCACCGTTCGCCGGAGTGGCGCCGATTTCCGACTTGTTGGCCGAGCAACCGTTCACGACTTGAGAGGCGACGAGCGGCGACGCAAGATTGGACGCAGAGACGCGGGAGAAAATGTCCAGTTGAACAGCAGTAGTAATAACAGCAGCAGCTGCAGCGCAGCTCGGGTTTGCAGCAGCCGGTGGCTTTCCGGCCACTGCTGGCACAAGCGAAAACTTCATCGAAGGGAGCATCTTAGCGGTTGCTGCGGCAGGGATGGCCACACGTACGGGATTTGGCAAGGCGTTCGATTGGCAAGGCGGCGTGCGGTTGGCCACCGGCTGCGACGCAGGCAGAGAGAGCGTCTTGTCGGCCACGACGCTCGGCGACGCGACGCCCAGGCCGGCCCAGGCCGGCGGCAGCGTCGGTGGCTGCTCAACTTTAGGCAGCTTGACGGGGCCCACGGCGTTCGGAGCGCCGACACACGGGGGGTCCTGCGCGGCGGCACCCACGCCGGCGGGCAGAGGCGGAATCATCCTCGCGCCAGCTGCGGGAATTGTAGCGGCAGCCTGAGCGAAGCGGCTGGAAGCAGCTTGCGCTGCTGCGGGCGTCGATGGGGCGAGCTGGCCGGAGCACGGCTGCTTCGTTGCGGCTTCCAGCCGTGGGATTTTGCCAGCTAAAGGGATTCCTCTCTTCTGAGGGCTACGGGGGGCTTTCCTCTTTGCCGAGGTTCCCCTCGACGCCAAGTTGACTTTTGCGTCTGGCTTCGGGTGAAGAGATGTGCTTGGCGCAATTACACCTGGATGGAAAAAAGACGACGGTCGATCAGCAGGTCTGACTGGGCATTTGGAACAAATGGCCAAGTTCTTTATAAATCCACCACCACCTCCCATCCACCCCTCAGAGTAAAAAAAAAAGTGTAAATCACAGCACACCGAAATACACCCACAGTTATGCTATCGGCAGGTCGTGCGTGGCAGGTCATTGTGTGGATACTCCCACCACTTCCGAGACATGTGCAGGCCAGTGTGGCAGAGTAGGCCAAAAGACCGACTGCGACAGAGGCTCTCGAGGCCTCTAGTAGAGCTCCTTCCAGCCAGCAATGGAGAGAGCACAGTTGTGGGCTCCAGCGTTACCTCGAAGGGGTCGTCACAAAATGAAATATAAAGGGTGCACACATTTTCCCCCATCAAAATATTGGCGACTCAACAAAACACACGAGCTGAACTCACCAGGAGTTTCTCGAACTTCGGAAGCAGTTAACTCGAGCTCCATTCCAACGTCCTGGACATGAGCCTGGCCAAGTGTCCTGGAAAAGCACGCAGAATTTGCCAGCGAGATCAATCATTATCGTCATTGGTCAACGCTGAACGTGTCGAGAAACCCATGTCCAAGCTCAAAATAAGCTCCACATTCCAACACGTTTTGGAAAGCCGAGCACGTTCACAAAAGCGACCTTTATCTGTAGAATGACAAGACAATGCAAGTATGACTATAGGTTTTTTCCCCTTTTTTCTGGAAAGATAAAAGGGGAAAAACCTATTCTCAGATTTTGGTACTGGCAAAGGAGGTCCCACGATACCTACAGGAATGTGAAATGTGCGACAGCGCGTCATCAAATGAAGGGATACACACATGCGTCATGGAGTTCCAACAAGTTAATTACAAATAAGGCCATCCCCCCCACATACTGGTCATGACGTGCGCAACCGAATGCGCCACAACTGCAGCATCTTTTTCTCAAACCGGCATGACGCCGTGGGTTTTACGTGGCCCGGTGGAAGAGGAAACAAATAAGAGCGGTTGTGTGCCTGCCTTGGCAATCAACTCGGGCCCCCTTTGGAGGCTTGCCAGTGCCAACGTTACCCCACCGACACGGCCAACGGCCAACCTGACACCTAAAACTAAAAAAATGGTTCTGCCCCGGGGATAGCCTGGATTAGAAATAGCCATGTCATCGATGTGGAATGATTCGTGGGCCATTACGCAATGTTGGCAGTGACCTTTGTTTTGAACTTTGCGCTGGGAACCGTGTCCCCACGCGAGGGGGCCCCGTTAAAGATAGCACCGGACTTCGCCCTCCCACATGCGCCAACAGGCTGACCCACACCCCCCTCCCCTCCCCACCCTAATAGAGAAGGCGATTTGTTTAGGACCATATTTCACCAGAAGAACATTAGAAGGGACGTTCAAGGAGTGAGAGTGTGGCGTTTTGTCAATATATTTCAATAAAGTAGAAGGTAAACATAATACATCTTGTTCAATACAAAATAAAAAGTTAGCGTCTTGCTAAATGTAAATGTTTACGTTTCAAACAGACCGCCATCATCACGGGCTGCGCTTTGCGTGTAGTTTTTATACAAGCGTCCCAATTAGAACTACGGTCTGTAATTGGGCACAATCCATCACGCGTAGGCTACTTATCTACTTAAAGCTCATTCGCCGAGTCCCAAACGCGCCAAAGGTGTAAAACATATTTAATTTATTCTGCCAGCAAGCCATGCCTTTTTTGAATATCCCCATTAAAAACCATCTTAACACCCTTCCAAAAAAACTTAAATGCACCGACTTAAAATAAAAGATCAATTATTCAATGGCCATGTAAGCAAAAATCCCTTTCAGTTTCAAAACAGTTAAAAACTACGATGCTCAGGATGCAATTTGGAGACTGGTAACACCAACTGCAAGTGCCATCATGCTTTTTTGCGACCATCATCTTTTTAACAGCTTAACGCTTTGCTTAATCTTACAGGCGGCTGGGTCCATTTCACGCAAGAGTGGAAAATTACCACGGGCGACCGAGACTACGCTAGGAATCGACATCAAAGAGAGACCAGGGCTGGCCCAACTGTGGCTCCCAGGCCGGCAGTTCAAGTGCAACTCGTTAAGAGACGCCACTAATATATTAACTCATTTTTTTTTTAAACAAAATAAAAAGAAAATCTGCGGAAGCGGATGAGACAAGGGGACACCCGCCTCCCAGCAACGAAGGTGGGACATTGCTGTTACTCCCCGGGGTGCTTATGCAGATTTCCAAATGAAAAAACTCCAGCCAGTGCAAGTGTAGTGACAGGGTGCCATCAGTTGACCATGAAGGATAACCACGGGTATGGGTGCGCTATGTAACAGCCAACTATAAGCGGGACATAACTGGGCCAAGGGTCAGAGGCGGGGATCTGTCGGGAAGTTCCTGGAACCTGCATGAGAGTTCTAGAAGGAGGGCGTGGCCAGAGGCGGGGCTTGGCCACGCTGAGGAGTATATAGGAGAGGTAACCGGAGGTTCGAGGCTGTCTTGGGGGTTCGGGTCCTGGCTGCCGTCACCGTCTTTGCCGTCATCTCTTCATCATCGTCCAGCCCTATGGCCGATCCGCTGTACTGTCCCTACCGTCATCTTGGCTGTATTAGTCAGCCATGTGGCTGTATGAGTGGGTCAGTTCTCCGTAGCCCAGTGTATATGTTGCTCAGTGACTCTGCTTGTAAAGTGTGAGAAATAAACCAGGAGCCCTCTACAAGTCGTGTCTCAGAAGACGCTCACTACACAAGCAAGCTGGCTGTGATGACTCCAAAGACAAAGAATCCTCCATAAAGCCTTCAGACTGTTGGGGCAAGTGCTGTCATAGGGAGCACCTACATATTCCAGCAGGGTACACGAGGGGGTTGGTTGGCCAGCACCGTGTCCAGCCACCTTTGTCTCTCTAGTGGCAATGTTTACACATCACACCACATATACCTTGGGGAGGCCCAGGAGCGATTCAGATAATCGTCACTGGTGTTGACTGCGAGCTGGAATCGGACCCGGATCTCGCTGGGTTCGTAGCGCAGCGCGCTTACTGCTGCACTCCCGCTGCCACCCTCCCCCAACTTCACCTGCAACGTGACATCTTGTGCCTCTTGGCCATAGCGATATTCTGCAGGGTTCATGAAGCGTGGCCACGTGTAGAACGTTGACGATTATGATCAGATAGCCAATGTTTTCCCCGAGGTCAAAAACAGGGAAAACTTGGCCTCATAAAAATAACAGCCACTCACCCCACTGTGCGCGTTGCGGTCGACTCAGGTACTTCTCGTCTCTTTCCTGAACATAAAGACAAATCCAAGAGCCCTCAATCAATAATGGCAACTGACCCGAAAATGTAATTTTGACACTGCAGCGCTGGAAACATTATGCAGTTTGCATTTTGGAAAAGTGTGACATGTTTTACACTCAATTGACCGACTTACACAGGGACGATTACCTAATCATCTTCCTTTTCAGTTAAAGAATTATAATTGGACAGCAGCTCAAGCTCGGTCGATTAAACGACACGCACATACACCGCCATTGGTGGTTTTGAATATTCCATCGTATGAGTCTCATTCCTCCAATTCTCGAGGCATCTGCGACAGCGTTGGGGTAGTATAGATTACAGAGAGCCTCTCTCAGGTCTTGGCCAACAACTCCCCGGAGCTATCGTTTCACAAGTGCCTCCGTGTCCGTGTGCCGTTGAAGATCACTCGTGCCTTTCAGATTTTTGGCGCAAATTTGTAATCTTTCATCCAACCCGAACGATTTTCGCTCGCAACTGCCGTTTAAGTGGAATTCTTTATCGCTCGCAACAGACTCGGCAAAAAAATGTTGCTCCTGTGGCAAAGTGATCGTGCTAATCAGTGTAAATTTTGGCCAACCGCCGAGTCTTAAACATGATCCACAATGTACACAACTATCCACCTTTATTGCACCCTCGCCCCAGCCCCCAATAAGGTTGTGCCATTTAAACTTCTCGCGAGTGGGGAAATTTAGGACTGCTGACAACCTGCCATCTGTATTCCGTCGTCAGAACGCTGCAACGTGTTCAAATGAGAAACACACTTCTCCTGTAACGTTGGCCGCAAATTTGTCATGATTAACAATGCACATCGTCAAAAGCAAACCAACAATGAAGGGAATAGTTGCAGGCGCGGGGGGCTGGAGGGGGGTGGGGGTGTGCATGTGTGCCAACAAGTCCGCACGAGACGACGTTACCTTCAGACTCCTCGAACTGCTGCAGCAGACTGCCCAGGTCGCTGGCTTCGATGCCTTGCGGAGCGAGCGAGCGAGCAGAGGGAGGCAGGGGTGGGAGGGAGCCACGTTACTCACAAAAGGCACGGAGCAGTGACGAGGACAAGTTACACGACACGCACAGCACCGGCGTTCAAACCCAACGGAGAAAGTAAAAAAAATCGAATCTCAGCAGCAGCAAAATGAGACCAAAATGTGCTGCCACCATACGAATGGTCAGGTGTATGCATGAACATGTTTGATGGGGGGGGGAATCAATATCAATCCATGTTTCTAAATCCAGACGAGATATGGGTCATGTATGCAATACAAAATGTGTGCATGGTTGAGACAATATTATCAATTCAAGAACGTTAAATATACATAACATTCAAGCAATAAAAGGTTTGCAGTGGAGAAAGTGGGTGGGGGGTATAATCCCCACCTCTTCAAAAGACATCTGGTCATTTTGGAAGAGCAAGCCAAATACTCTGGAGCAAATAATAGCAGCACTGCACCGTAACCCATGGACAGCGATGCCCGCGAGCGAGTGGTGGTGTGTACAGCACTACACCCAGAGCAGCCTGCGTTCACAGTGGCTGATATATGCAGGCTGCAACACTCATTTAAGGCTGAAACGACCTGGGGAGAGAGGCCCATATAATGTGTCCAGACATCACCCGCATTTTAAATAACCGTCACCGGAAATCAAACTCTTGACAGAGTTGTGCAGTGCGCCACTGCACAAGAAGATGCCCATAACCGTCGTTGCCGAGTGACAGCCAAGAAATCATTATTTAGCAATTAACAAGCAAGCCAAAACATATGCCATTCAATACAAGTCGATCAACTTTCACTTAAAGGAACGTTGCGATCCTGATATCTACGTGTCACTGCACTGGCAAACTTTGTTCCAATAAAAAAACCGATCAGCCCAATTGTGCTTGGACGAGCACTAAGGGGTGGCGGGTGTTGTCCTGTATACAGCCCTTAGCCTGCTACGGAAATTCCCCATTCCTATGGTGGGGGTCAATCCATTCAAATGGACCAACACCGTAAAAAAAATCCATTCACAGTTCGGGGGGGGGGGGGGGGGGGGGGTGGTGCATTGGATTTGTTTGGCCAATTTCTGAACCTCAAGTGTTTTGTACGCATATTTAAGTTAAGTGTAACCAAGGAAAACCCACTAGTCACATGAGGACGCAGCACAACGGAGATTAACCCACTGGCTGTACTGCCATCTCCCAGGTCACCTTGGCATGTGTTCAGTTTCAAATGTCTCTGCAATCCACCACGAAAAAAACCTTGCGTGGGGTGACGCACAGCTTGACGGCTTACTGGTAATTGCAAAAATAATAATTTCTTGGCTGCCTGTCACTTAGTAATGACTATTATGGGCATCTTCTTGTCGATAGAGCGGTGGCTGTGCAGTGGCGCACTGCACAACTCTGTCAAGAGTTTGATTTCCAATCATGGTTCATATCACAAATGCAAGTGATATCTCTGCACATATTATGGGCCTCTCCCCCAGGTTGTTTCAGCCTCAAATGAGTGTTGCAGCTTGCTTTGCACACGCGCAAAGTCGGCTAAACTTACCGATCTCTTCGAAAAACGCCCGTATCGTGGGATCCGTCTCCAGGTAGTTATCGTCCTCCATCGACTCCGCCGCTGCCTCTGCCGGAGCATCGGCACTCGCCGCATTATCCGCGCCGCTCTGCTCTGCGAGTCCCCACTGCACGCCGGCACCGCCCGCGGCGTGGGGGCCCAGCTCGAGGCCGCGCTCCTCCATGCGGCGCCGGTACTGCAGCAGGCTGATCCTGCGCCGCTTGGCACCAGACTCCTCTTCTGCGTTCGCATCCGGTGGCACGGCGATGGCGGGAAGGGGCGGCGGGGGGGCCTCCCCGTCAGGTGGCGGTGCCGACGACGCCGGCCGATGCGACAACGGGGGAGTCATCGACGTAGACGGTGGCGCCGATAGAGAGGGCGGCACGGCCGATAACGCATCGGACGGCACGGAAGGGGAGGGAGCCACCGACAGAGTGGACAACGGTGGCGTCCGTGAAGAGGGTGCAGTTGAAGAGGGTAACACGGATGAAGGGGGTGTCAATGAAGATGAAGGTGATGGTGATGACGGCATCGATGACAAAGTTGTCAATGGAGGTGGTGGCACCAGCGAAGAAAGTGTCATTACAGTGGGTGGCGTTACCAACGCAGAGGTTGTCGGTTTCACAATTGAAGAGGAAGGTGCTGGCGAGGAGATTGACACCGATGAAGCCGATGCTGGCAAAGGAGAAGGTGCCGATGCTGGCAAAGGAGAAGGTGCCGACACCGACCCCAACACAGAAGGTGCCGACAGGGAGAAGGGTGCTGGCCTCGTCATCGGCGACGTGGAAGAGGGTGACGCAGCAAGCCCACCGATGACTTTCGACAGTTTCGACTGCTGCTGTTGCACCACCACAATGGGTTTGGTTTCTACCTCCGCGGTCGTGCGGTTAAAGTCAACCCGCGCGAGCACTGGGTGGGCGACATGCTCGGGCGGAGGTCTCGCCTGGCTCTGCTGTGCCGCATCACTCTGCGTCGTCTCCTTCCTCGCTTTGCTGATCCTCACGGAGCGCCGAGGTGGCTCCTCAAACAAGATCGAGCGCACGGCTTTTTTCGTCATGGCCGCCGCCGCCGCCGCGCCCGGTTCTTGCTGCCCGTTCACGTTTCGCGTTCGGGGCCTGCCCCTGGGCCTCTTCTGCGGCACCACTAAGGGGACGGCGTCGCCTTTTTCAGCTTTCACGTCCGCTTCGTCTTCTCGTTCCGTCTTTGCGGCGGGGAACGTTGCCGCCGAGATTTCTTCCGGGCCGGGAGTCACCGCTGCTGGCGCCGTGGTCACGGTGGCAGCAATGGCGCCCGCCGACCGTTCTGCTCGCTCTTTGGCGTCGCGCCCGAGCGACGCCTTCTCCGAGCCGCAATCGAGAGAACTCGACTCGCAAAGCCCGTCGAGAGGGCCCAGGAAGCCAGTCCCGTGGGCGGCGGTGCCGCCGCCGCAGCCGTCGCCATCGGTCCCTCTCGCTTGCTCCTCCCCACCCTCCGAGCCGCTGACGTCGGCCGAGGATCCCGCGAGCGCCCGCGCGAAGCTCGCGGAGGAGCCGCCATCAGGACTCGCGCCGCCGGACGGCCCGCACGGTGCTTTCACGGGGGACAGCAGGGAGAGCGACGCCACGGAATCGCGCACGCAGTAGGTGTGCATGTAGCTCACAAGCTCCACGACAGAGCCTTCCTTCAGGTCGATAACATCGAACTCGAACGAGCCATCCATGGCCATGAGCTTCTGCAGCTCCTCCACATCGCCCTCCGGCAGCAGCATGCCGATGTCGTCTTCGTCGTTGCTGCTGCTGCTGCTCGCGCCGCTCCCACCGGACGCGCAGAAACTCTCGGCGCTTCCGTCCTGCTTCTCCGGCATGTCCTCCCCGCTGCTGCCGCTGCTGCTGCCCTCCCAGTCGCAAACAGCACTCCCGCCGCCGCCGACGGGGGAGTAGGCGGCCGACTCCAGGGTGCATAGGTGACGCAGCAGCTCCAGGTAAGTGGGCGTCGGGTGACGCTGACGGGGCCGGTTCGCGTGCTGGGAAGGACAACAGCGTTTCTTTACGACCGCGCAAGGTTTTCTTGCCCATGCCGTGTATAGTTCTGCGACGTGTTTTTGGGTTGTCACCACGTGACGTTCAGCACGACGTCCGACAGTTTCTCTCCGGTAAGCTCCGAACGGTTGGAGAAAGATGTCGAGACATCACGCCTGAGCGACGCCGCGGCACAAACCGAAAAAGCACGCCCGGAGGGAGGGAGGTCTCTGACTACGCGCTATTTATCAGAGCGAACAAAAATCTCACCCGGCCGGGGGAGGTGGGAAGGCGGGTGGTCACGGAGGAGTACGGGTGCCGCGTGGAGGCGACGCGCGACTCCGCGCCGCTCACGGGCGACAGAAGCAGCCTCTTCAGCTGCGGCAACACGACAAGGACGACAACGGGGTGAGCGTCACTCAACTTCCACGGCGTCACAACACGGCCACCCCCGTGTTACTCCACCGACACCGCGCAGCTTTCCATGGCAGTAGAGTCACAAAGAAGCACATCGGCACATTCGTAGGCTGCATAAAGCCTGCATCGGTTAATCAAATTCACAACGCACCCATTGCATATAGTTTCCTTGAGTGAGGATGGCTGGTTTTTTGATGGGCTAAGACTTAAGGAGTCCTGCAATTGAGATCTTTGAACAATTACAGTTACAAATTGCATGTTTCTTTAGTTATGAAACAAAACCAGAGAAACAGGAAGAAAGCCATGCAGAACAGGGAGAACATAGAAACTCGACGCGGAAAGGTGCCGGAGCTGGGAATCAAACTCAGGAAATTATTGCTGCGAGGAACAAGTGTCAACACTGTGCCACCCGGGCGACCTAGGACTCTCGCCATTCTTGCAAATATTGCGAAGAAATCATTCCCTACCGTCGAGCTCTCTTCGACGTCGCACGCGAGCAGCCGAGGCTCCGGGTCGAGGAGTCCATCGAAGGGCGAAGCCGTGTTGTCGTCCAGGCTGTCCAGAGTCTCTGCGAGCGCCATGAGCAGCGTGGCGTCACCAATGCTGCCGTCGCCACCGCCACCACCGCTGCCACCACCCTGCAGTGACACGCCACGAATTATCACTCAAAGAGCACTTCGACACGATCATACGCTGGGCTGGATCGATCTATGGAATAAATACATGTGTGGAGCTGAGCGTTATGGCCTCGTACGTGCGGTTACGTTTTCTCTGTGTTCTCCGTCATTACTAATGATGGGCCAAAGTAATTTCTGCCTCGGTTCTCTTTTCTTCGCGACCATCACCGCTTCACTTAAATCTTAATCGTTATTCTTCTCGATGATTTATCCCTGCATATAGCCACCTGGTTTCCCATCTTATCCCATTCCACATTCATCGTGTGCAGCATTGCGAAGCGCAGGATCCTTCCCAGGCTCATTCTCATAGCGATCCCAACCAGTGTGGTCTTCTTTCCGTAACAATTCTAAACAAGGCGGTTTTCTACTCCAAACCATTTTATTAAATTGTGTTTCAGTCTGAAGTCTTGATTCTCCTGGAATCTTAATCCTTCTCCCACATTTATTAAATTGGCCAAATAACCCAATTTAAGACATTAAAACCTAGATTTTTTTTGGGTAAAATAAAAAACATTTATTTTTAACATTGTACAGCAACCACGACCGCAAACAAAACAGATCCCCCATCTGGCCAGACACTGACGAGTTCACCACGGTGCACGAGGGGGTGGGGTGGCCTGCACCACAGACCCGGTCGCATTCGCGTCACCATTGTTCGCATTTACCAACTGCACCAGGCGGTGCCCAGTTAGAGGGCAGGTTGACCCGGTTCATAACAGAGCTTGCCGACGACACTAGCCAACGCTGGCGCTCCCCACAGAAACGAACACACACACACCCACACTGAGAGTTGCAATGCAACGCGAGCTGCTTTCTAAGGACGAGGAGGCGTCACAAAAGCAAAAACACCCCGTAACATGCGTCGTTCTACGAGTTAATTTACCGAGACGTACAGAGACGCAGGAACGAGGGCGACCACACAACACGTCGCCTCTCAACTCAACCGCCCCACCCCCCAAAACCGCACACACCACACAACCACGATCCATCACCAGGACTGGAATGACCACTCCCCGACAGGATTCGGTGGTGCCGCTCACGGCTCGGCGGCAGAGCTCGCGTTACAAACGAGGAGGTGGCAGTGGGCCAGCTGCCAGGGCTCATCAGCACGATAATCGTAGCCGCAGCAAGTGGACGGGCGGGGACGACGGCACGGAGCTTGGGGTACGCAGACAAACAGCGTCCCAACGCTTTGTCGCTGGCTCTGCAGAATTATTATTCGCGCAGAGCCATCAGCTTTCCCTGGGAAAGTCTATTCACAGCTAATAAGCTTCCATAGAGAACGCATTACCATTTGGGACTTTGGTATCGCCCAAATAAAAACTGTACATTAGCGGTGCTGACAACAACGCTACCGCTCGCCACAGACACGTGCGTACACACCGCACTAGGGGCTGCAATGCAACCGAGCCTAACAAGGCGAAAGGCGTTTCGTCATGGCCGCGGCCGCCGCGCCCTGGTTCAACGATGTGGTCGAGCCATTTCTTTGCGTGCAACACGAGCTTCAGGGGAAAGAGACAAGAGACCAGCTCGCACAGAAACCTACGCTGCACGTCTGTTCTGCATACTTGACACCAGTTATATACATGGCGAGCAGCGAACAATGGAGTTCAGGACACAAGTCCGATTACCAACTTCACCTTTTTTCTCAGCTACTTGAAATTCTGCAAGCATCACAGGAGGAGCGCAATTCACAGAAACAACGGCATCGAACGTTTCTCCCCGCGGCGGTAATCTCAAATCGTTCGAGGGTCGTGCACGGATGCCACCCAAGGTTGCCCGTGGCGATGCCGAGCGCTGTGAATGCGCGGCAGTCGTACGTATGTGGAACGTCTTTTCACACTGTACGTAGCCAACCGTGCGAATCGGCAGGTGCCAACTGTGCCCACACGAGTCGCCTTGGCGGTTTTCACCCGCGTTACGATGCCGCGAACCGGCAGCACGACGCCAACCGTTTGATGTCAACGGCAGAGCGTGGTTGAGCCACGGAGAAAGTACAATTGCAGATGACGACGAGCAGATGATGACTACAACTAACCAACGAAGGTCTGAACATGACTCCGTCAGGATGAAATTAAGTAATGTGAATTAAGGCGCAGCTTAAAAATACTTTAGTAATGTGCCACGAGACCAAACATGTTAATTAGAAATATATTCCACACTCTATCATTGAGCTATTAGCTCTTTTTCAGAGGGGTCCTGGCCACACAGAGCTCAGAGTGGCCGATCATGTGGAAATGTATAGCAGCCTAATAATACTAATTTGTTTTTAAATGTGAAGGGCAAAGCCAGAGGAACCCAGGAGAAAAATCCACACGACCATGGAGAGAAAAGATTACGCAAGCTCCAAATATACAACAGGCATCCTCAGGGTCAGGACAGAACCCACGACCCCCTGCATACCAACAGAATCTTTGCCACAGCAGTGAGAAAATGTTACAGAGTTCACCGATTGCGTGAACTCAATATCGCGGGGGGTGAGCAGGTGGGGGAGAAATTGCCTACCCCCCCCCTCCTCCCTCACGACATCATAAACCAAGAGGGGTCCACCAAACGTTTTACTGCTTGAAATCGACCGGACTAAGGCGAATGATGAATTGAAATCAACAAAGAGACTCGACTAAAATTCCACAGGCTGTCGTCGGACTGGACTAAAATGCAAATCCTGACGATTTGATTTAACACTGCTCTCTGCACCTCCGATTAGCACGCTTGGCTACATACGGAACGAAAGAAGTTGAACATACAGCGATGTACCTCGACTTTCGTCGCGGCGTTCTTTCGGCCGTTTTCAATTCTAACCACATTGCAAATTTCGTCCACGCGGCTCTCTCTTTCGTCCCATTTCATCCCAAACCTTTCACGACGTTCGGCCCCACGCGCTGTCTTTTTTGCTCAGTCTTAGAATCGAAGTCGTTCACCGAGCACCTCTTATATTTGTGTTTATTCGTAAATTATTAATACTGTACCGATTTCTGTGATCGCTGTAAACAATTCATAATTATTTTTGTAATAACAGTATAATACTATAGTGTTCATAGTTATTTTCGTGATCATAAAACATGAACATTATCCATACCGTGCTTATTTTTGTGATTACTCTTATTTGCATCAACGTTTTTCGCCAGCCAAAATAAATTTGCAAGCTAAAAAAAGGCTCTGCTTTGACATTCGTCCATGCTCTGGTCCTTAACCAAACGAAAGTGCAAGGTATTCCTGTACATACTACGATGACAAGGCAATGTTAAAGACTTCCAGTGACCAGGCAGCAGCTAAGCAATCGGCAACAACCAACTGCCGAAGACGACATTTCGATAAGAGCAGCCCATTCCAAACGCTGCCAGGCAATTGTTTGTGGTGGAACAGCGCCTACAAAAACCTAAATTCATAGGGGTTTTTTGGTTAGATCTAAATTATTTGAAAGCGCAAGGTCACATACAAGAGACAGACCAGAGGAAGAGTATACAGTATTTGTTTCATGAGGGTCTAGGCACAAAACCAATTTAAGATTCTCATTTTCCAATCGCTATCAACTCTAGTGGGTCACAGAAATAGGTTTGGGTTCTAAGTGCCCTACAGTGTGAACAGCTGCACAAAACAACCCTACCCCAAAACCAACATCCTCGAAAACACAAAATACATTACTTTCGTGATGTTATTTTTTGTAATAACTTTTGCTACATGAAAAACCCGCGCCACAAAACGCCACATGTGCTGCATAGCTTTGTCAGGAAATTAAAATGGGCTTCAAGTGGAAATTGTTTCTTGAAATAAAAAATCTACCAGGAATCGAATATCGTTCGTCAGTCAGTGCTTTATCCTCCATCTCTGAGAGGTATTTTTTTTAGTGGAACACAATCTAATGCATATCGCGTGGATTTGTTACTCTATTTAAATAGACCCACACTGGGTTTCCATTATTTTTTAATCTATGCATCATAATTGCAACAATAACTCCCCCCCCCCCAGTTCAGAATGCATCTTTAACATCCCCCACTGCAGCCTTGTGCGCCGATTTATGCATTTCTTTATTGTAGCGTTTATAAACTCGTACGAAACCCTTTGAGCAAAGCGCCCCTTTATTTTTTAACTGACATGTACGCAAGGTGTGTATTCATATTTGTATCCTGTTTGCGAGGATAACATTTTTTTCGTGAGACCGTACACATTTTTTCCCCAGAAAGAAAAAAAACACTTTTGAGTAAATGCCATCTATAAACAATAAAAACGTCACATTAAGGAAGACTTTTCTAAATCACCGCTTGTTTGGGCACGTGTCAGTAAAACTCACTGCCCTGGAGGATGTGCCACAACAGGTTATGATGTTCCAACAACAATATTTATTTACATGTATTTGTACGGCACCTTCCACTCATGTCTCAAGGTGCCTTTTAAGAATAAGATTCAAGGCAAAGAGGAGAGCTACGTAGAATAAACGGACTTAAGAAGATGTGTTTTTAGACGAGACTTAAAAGTAGCCACATTATCGGATAAACGAATTTCCAGCAGTAGGGAATTCCACAATCAAGGTGCAGACATTGACAACATTTGAACCAAACCCTCAAACGTGCATTACCGAATAACTCTTCACAATTTTGTGCGCATACCGAAATGCAACAAAACATCCATGGAATTAAAACAGATTCTTACGATCAGGCTACACGCATGGAATCGTGCACGATAAACTGATCATTTACATTCTAAACAAATTACACGCAAACTAGTTGTTAATGTTATATTTAGTCTCGGGTGGACGGGCCATGCGAGCCAATCAATTGCAGAGCTGCATCTTTAGCGTTTACATTTAGTAGGCTACTGGAGCAAACAAAGCTGTGCAAACGAGACCTAAAAACCAAATCCACACGAAGGATTAGAAAAGAGAAAAACCAAACCGCACTTAGAATCAAACCATGGCTCTAAACTGCAAACAATTAATCAAATCCTTGAATGAAAGAGCAGACAAAAGATAAATCGTTCCAACTTCTAGTCTGCCAGTGGCAGCCTGACACTTGGTAAGGATATCCGCGATTACGGACGTGGGACTGGGAGGGCAGTGGAGGGTTGGTGGATGCGGAAGGAAGAGGAAGCCTCACTTGTAGCCATGGGGCATCGGACGTGTCGCTGGTGGAACTGCACAAGAGTCCATCCAGAGGGCTCAGCGAATCCAGTTCCGGCGACAGCAGGCTCTCGCTCGCCAGCATCGTGCCGCACTGCGCATGCACGGGATCATTTATTGTGTTGTTAACAACCAATGCATTTCATCCATTTCATATTTCAAATCCCAAATACATTGCTCTCCCGCCAACCCTAAATATAAAATAAATTACAAGTGTCACGCGGTATTTAATATTCCAGCGGTCTCCTGTGAATATAAAAGTTAGTCTCAATGGGCTCTCACTGGATGATAAATTAAGAGCCTCGACATAGCTTTTTACAGGCTGACGAGGCGAGTTTTGTTTGCGAGCACCTGTTTAAATTGGCCATTTCGCACATGGCAGTGGTGTGGCCAGGACCACGACCGATGTTTACACACCAGGTACTTATTTAAAGGATGAGTAGACCCAGGGGAGGCTCACGACCGGTGTAAACACCACTCGCCACTGAAGTTATCCAGGAATCGAACTTAAGTACCAGAGTTTATAACTGTTTACCAGTATACACCCTCCACTATTCTCAAGACGATAGCGCAGAGATTTGCTAGAGAAAAAAACACCAAAAGCCACGTGGACTATTTTAATTTAAACAGAATTACAAACAATGTGTTAATGAACACTCGAGAGGAATAGTTGGTGCCGGGTTTATTGTGTGGATTTATTGGGAATCAGCTGTGCCAGTGCATCACGCCGCCGGTGGAATGTCACAACAGGGCCAGGCGAGTATGAATCACTGGCGCCCAACCTCGTGTTCAAAACGGAGCTGTGAATCACAAGCCACGCTCGGCAGGGAGGGATTTCCAACCTCTACTCCTCTTACAGAGCCAAGAGCGCAGTAATCCAAGAAAACATGACGGTCCATTCAGACCTGTGGTCAAATCACTTCCACCATGAAATTGCACGCAGCTTGATTGCTCATCCTCAATCAGCCACGGTCGATCCACTGCTTGATAAAGTCATTGGCGTGTCCTGCGATGTAATAACAATACGCCTTGCACGAGCACACGAGCTTATTTTCATCGCTCCATCTCCACAAGGAGATGGACCTCCTCGGGCGTGTTGCCTCGACCGCCTGGCATCATCCCGTCTCGCGAGGAGGTGGTCCTGGCCAAGCCTACTTTTTCTTAACTATAAATAAGCCGTCTCCAACATGCTTATGTTCTCTACTTCTGTCTGTCTGCTAAGCAAAGTTAACCATGGGTTTATTTAGCAAGAAGTGTACCCTCGCGTTAAAGATTAAAAGGTTGGACTGTGTTTATCAGCTTCAAAGCCAATTATTAAACATGCGCAGCTGTTGATGAGAATCGGAATATTCATTTATAATGGAGGAATCCGATGAGCTATAAAGTTATTTTTCATGTCCAGCAGGGGCGGCTAAGAACGTTACAATATTACAGAATGATTGTGCAAAGTACAAGACAAGTAAACAAATCACCCAAATATACAAATAAAACTAAACCATCCCCATCCTATCAGGCAAAGCCCAGAGGTAACAGGTCCCTGCAGGGTGGGCTGGTAGGAACATTGGAAAAAAAATTTCACCCAACAGCACGAGATTTCACTTCGTTAAAGTATTGAAAGGGGACGGACGGACACATTAATCTATTGCAGGCTGGTACACTCAGTTTACAACTTCGTTCCTACCAGTATTAACTTGTTTTTCAAGAGAACTGGCCACAAATTATACCTCTAGTGGCCCATCATTTGAACATTTATAGCACCAAAATAATCTAAATCATCTCAATGCGCACTTCTAGATGTGGAGGGGGAAAACCCAGGACCCGGCGAGAACATGCAAACTCCAAATATGCAGGCGTTGAGGGTCGGGATCGAACCCACGGCCCTCCTGCGTACCAGGCGATCGAATTATTGCACGGAATTTAAATGACGTTATACGACCAAACCTGTCTCTGTCCAAGGGGCGGCTACACCTTTGAGGGTTACTCATTCAGCAGTGGAGAGAACAAGGCTGATGATACGTTGTTTTAAAGCACCACGCGGAAGCGAGACCACGTGCGCGCACTGCAGCGTCTCTTCCCCCCCCCCTCCCACCAGCCCACCGTGGCGGAAACACGCGGCGTGATGACGTAAATATGGCGCGAACGTGACGCCACGCCCCGCAATCTTTTAACACGTGTTTTTATTACAGTAGCACCACGTGCATAACAGTGAACGCGAATTCCGTGTCCGCAACACTCTTCGGGTCAAAAGGCAACGGTGTTTTCTTTTCACCATAATGGGGGGCGGCAGCTGGATATATTATGCGTATACAAAGACACCCCCCCCCACCGTACGCATGCTGTTGGGGACAAGTGCTGTTTGGGAATGTGGCTATGAAGGACGCGGGACGGCGCGCGAGTTTGGGTGTGGCCAGCACCCCGAACCGCTGCCTACGTCTCCCCAGTTCCGATGTTGTTACGGAGCACCAGGTAAATCGTGTCAAGTCGTAGTCGACCGAGGGAGAGCCAAAGAACGGTATATATACACACACACTATGTAACTCGCCACCGATAGATAGCCTTGAGCGAGAATTTAACTCAGATCACCGGGTTCATAGCGCATCGCTGAATACAAAAGGCAGAGCAATGGTGAGCGCAATGCATTATAAACCCGATCTACCTCGGTTTAATGCAATGATAATAACATCACTGACAGCAGCGGACGTAACAAATGTGAAAGCTGACAGCGCTCTCGATCAGAGTTAGTTCCCACTCCCCCGGCGCCGGTCAACACCAGTCGCGAGTAATATTTGAACATGTTCCCTCTTTCACCAACCCGCACTCAATATTGTGAAGCATGGTAAAAACCATTCATTCAAACTCCACGTCATTAGCGCCAGCTCATTGCACCAATGAACACAAGAACGCTCTTTAGAGCCTATACAAGAGGATTTTAATAAAACGATTGCCCCATCACTTAAACACGGATCCATGATCAGCCCTTTTTAATAATAAAGGTCAACCCGCACACCCATCAAACAACCGCCCATCTCCAGCTCAAGACGCGCCTTAAGTGTTTATCTTTCGGCCAGTCGGCCGAAACGTCGAGACTCATCTCACCTCCATAACATTAATTACCACCACTACAGTATTCTGACCTACAGGACATCACGAAATACGCACTCGAAACTTATGGACAAAAGTTTTACAAATCTGTTAACACGATCTCAGCTATCGGATTATAAGACGCATTCCGAAGTTTCATTTTTTACAGAGGGGAAAAGTGCGTCTTATAATCCGGTATTACGTTTAATTACACCGCGTCTCATTGTGCAAAAGTTCATAGCAGCAACTTCTCTAGAGAACAAGATACAGTACAAGGCTTTATTAGCACAGTTAGAGCAACGTACATTGAAACCTCGCCGTGTGTTTTCAAGAGATAATAATGGGGCTATCCAGCGCGAGTAATGAACATGCACGTGTTTAAACCCTTCACAAATCCACTGCTGGATGAGGATATTTCCAAAACCGTGTCAGCGGGCGCGTGTACCATACTTCACCAGGCTGGTCAATGCTAGTCAAGTGAATAAGTAATCATTACCATGACCCTTCAGTTACGTTTTGTTGTACGCGAGACCATTTCGTGTGCATGATATAACCAAATGGCAACACGTGGACGCGAGCCCACGTGGCGCCGCCATGTGCATGAACCCCAAGAAACCCAACACCACCTCTGCGCTCACGCCCACGGCGTTCACACACACAACAGCATCGCGGCTAAACCTCATTGACGACAACACGCACAGGCCCCCGTATGCAGTCACAAACACACTGCAAAATAAAAACGTTAAAACACAGACGCGGTTAAGGCCACGGAGAGGCCACGCCGTACAGTAAGCGCGTACAGTGCGACTCACGCCACATGGCCACCGACGCCGCGGCGAGACGGAGCGGCGAAGCGAGAAGACGCGCGAAGAGGTTTGATTGACGAGGAGAGAGCGCGATGAGGCTGGCGGGCGATGGTTTCGGAGTTTTTTTTTTACCTCGGACGCGGCGCCTTCCCTGCCGCAGGAGAAGGCGGAGAGCGGAGACGCCAGCCCCGGCAGCGCCCCGACCTCCATCTTAGCCGCCACGCCACGTGACCACTTTCTAACCCCCCCCACGACCCCTCCCCTCACCCCCCACTATATAGTAGCCCCGCCCCTCACCCCCTTCCAAGCGCGCCCCCCCCCCCCTCAATGAATCCCTAAAGAATCAGAGATCACGTGTGTTTGCATGTTCGCCACGAGCACCGTTTACAATGCAGTCCGTGATTCCCTTTACAAAAGGGGTTCTTCTCCTGGGTGCTTTCGGTAAAGTCACGTAGAATGGAGATACCATAATAAAAATAATAACAACAGAATAAAAATATCACGACGTTTCGGCCATAACACAAGGAAGGCTACTTTTTCAATTATTATTTTATTTCCATTCTACGTGACTTTACCAAAAGAACCCAGAAGATGAATCCTTGCAGTAACGAAAGCTTTAAATCGAAATTTAAAAGGGGTTCTGTTTGGTGTTGTAACATCTTAACACCCTTCCCGTTTCATCTGCCAGAAAGGGTGAAACACGATTGTTATTTTAGTAGTTCATACTCGACGGATTCATTTGCACAAACGTCTTCTTCTCCCGTGTGGCTTATGTAGATACAATTTAACATTTGCGGCGGACAAAGCTAAACAAACGACTCATTCGCAGCTTTGTGGAGTAATGAACACGCATACAAAAAAAACCACGATATTCTTCCGTGCGTCCCATCAGACACACCGGTTGAGACTTGGTCGATGTTTTTAATGAATCCGGCCAGCCTCCACCACGCACTGTTGTTACACTCGCTCGTTGTTAAACAAACAGCTGCTGTATGCCGAACTTCTTTCGCACCGTACATAGCTGCCCGTGACAATCGGAGGCGCGGGGGGGGGGGGCTTGCTTGGGGAAGGAGGGGGGGGGGCGGAAAACATTTATAAAGAAATGCGTTTTCAATCTATTTAAATCCACATTATTTAAAAGTGCTGAGCTCCTCAAGTGGCGTCCTGACGTCGGAAGCAAGAGCGTTCCAGACGTCCGCAGAAGCGCGTCTCGAAGTTTCAGGGACCCCGCCGTCTTTAACAAATAAAAACAAACAAGGACGGTCACTGCTGTTGTTGTTTGGCCGTCGACGATTGCTCGGCAGCGCAAGGGCCACGCGTCGAGACGAAGAGACGCCAGGGACGTTGCGCGCGCGCGCTCTCTACGAATTCTATTTTGGGGAACCAGAAACGATGAGAGGACTCGACAACTGTGGAGATAAATCCACCACAGCCCCCCCCACCCTCAGGACCCCAATAACCCTAAAACCCCTCCCCTCATCTACCCCCATCGATCCCCATAGCCCCGCTCCCACTTAACCCCCCCCCCCCCGACTTGCTAGAAACCCCAAGACAGTAGAGCAGCCCTGAACAAACAGCCCCACAAGCCTATAAGGGTCAGCCCATCAACCCCCCTTCAACCTCACCCAAGCCCACTTCGGGGCGAGGTGGTGAGGGTAGTCAGCAATGTCCCTCCCACCCCCCGCCCCCCATCCCCCGCCCCCCATCCCCCACTGCTCCCCCAACCCCACCCCCCCATTCCTCCTTGGGTCCCTCCCCTCCGCATACAGTGCGGATCCGGGGCCACGTGGCCGCCCCCACGCGTGGTACAGTGCGGAGCACGTGGCGCGCTCCCGTAGTGGAGGCATTCACCCACGGGCTCGTGGGGACTCGGACACCGCGATGATGCAGTATCATTGTGATTGCACGATACAATACGGCCATTGCGCAATGACTGCATCGGTGTTCAGAGCGGTGGTTTATTTCTCGTGACTCGACCTCAAATGAGTGCCTGGTGAGATGTGTAAACGTCGCCACTGGGGAGACAAAGGCGGCCGGGCGTGGGTGTTGGCCACCCACACCCTCGTGTGCTGTGCCGTGGAAAATTAATCGGTATTCAACACTCCCCTGAGTTCTGCATGAATCACGTAGCGCTCCCGGTTCATTATACATGAGGTTATCTGCATATAGTTCATAGTTCCAGTTATTTGGTATAGCCCTGTGAGCCATTCGGCTCTTGAATCGGGTGCAACCGCAACAAACAAAAACATGAACGTAACTTTATCACTGCTTTCAACTCACCTGAAGCTTTGAACGGACAAAAGTTTATTTCGCGACGGACGATTGATAGCTAAGAGTGAATAAAGTAGACTGCTGCTACTTTCAATAGTAAAATACCAAACATAACCATTTTAATTTTGATTTGAAGCTTTCGTGACTGCAGGAATCCATACTCTTTGGTTCTTTTGGTAAAGTCACGTAGGTATAAAAATAATAGATTACGACGTTTTGATCGCAACACAAGCGATGACGATCGCTAATTGTATCCTGTGTAAATGGGTGTTATTAGTAATTACAATAAGAAGAGGTTCATGTTCCGGGGTAAATACAATACATTTACAAAGGATCAAACAATTTTAAAACATCTTAAGTACTGTATTGTACATACAGTTAAAACAACAACACACTTGTTCTTTTACCAGCTGCAAGTTTGCTTTTAAAACAATATTTGGTTCATGTTTAATGCATGCTGAGCAGGGATTTATTATATACTAGCGGTAAGTACCCGGCGTTGCCCGGGCGAAAAAGGCAGACACACACATGGACTTACACACAGACATCGGCCCACACACATAGAAACACATTGACTTACATGTACACACACACACACACATGGACTCACACACACAGACATCGACTTTACACATACACATGTAGTTACACACAAATCGACTCACACACACACATAGACTTAAACATATCGACTCACACATACATACATAGACTCAACAACAACAACCATTCGCCATTAAGTGGCGGTGACGTCACCACGACGCTTGTGCCAGGCTGTGTGCACCTTGAGGCCACGTGAAGTGTCGAACGCCCGCTGGCAGGAGGTCACGGGGCAGACCCAGGTGCCACGGGTCGACTGAGATGACTGGCTGATGCACCACCTGTGCCCCCTACTGTGCCAACCTGCTGTGCTTTAGCCACCCGGCGCTCCGCTCGTTGTTGTGAGCGTCGCTCCTCCGCCCTCCGTTGTTGTTGGAGGGCGACTACCTCCAACTGCCCAGTAGCGTCCTTCACGAGCCTCCTCCACAGAGGCCGATCTTGACACCGCTGGTACCAGTCATCGGCAAGTCCACTCAGCTCCACGTCCTCCTGTACCACATCACTCCATCTCTTCTCTAGCCCGTGCCGCGCCCGTTTAGCCCCCTCGATCCGGTCGAACAAAAGCTGTTTAGGCATGCGGTGGCTGGGCATGCGGGCTACATGACCCAGCCAACGCAGCCTTGCCTGGCGTAGGAGGTCACCGATGGGACTTTGTCCAGATCTTTCAAAGATTTGTGAGCTCCTCACAATCCAGTCTGGTTAAACCCAGGATGGATCGTAGGCAGGCCAGCCTAAATGTTTCTAACTGGCGAAGATGTTCCATTAGGGGGGTCCACGTTTCGCAAGCGTAAAGAAGGGAGGGAATGACCGTGGGCGAGAAGACGTGGAGCTTCTTGCGGAGCGAGAGACCAGGTAGCTTCCACACAGTGTTACGCAGCCGATGAAAAGATAATGCCGCTCGACTGATTCGGAGTGAGACCTCTGGTGTTAAACCGGAGCCGGTCATGAGCACACTGGGCAGGTATGGGAAACTCTCCACTCTCTCCACAACTGGCCCATCACCAATTGTGAGTTGTGTCGGTGGATGGTCCAATGGTACAAAATACCCAGGCATGTGCTTAGTTTTGGTGGGGCTGATGGTAAGTCCTGTTGTATATGCCGGGTCTTGAATTTTTGATTTAAAAAAATGAAATTGGAAAAACTTGTAAGTATGCAAAATTATGCTAATTTATGTAATTATGCGCATAAATTATACTATTCAAGACGGTGTCATTGTACTAAGTTAGGCAAATGTATTCGATTATGCTCATGTATCCAATTATGATCATTAGGCTCTGCCTCGTTGTCTCGGGTCGTATAAATCGGGATAATACAATTCTTCTCACTGATTATGTCTTAGTGTTTTTATGTCAGGTCTCCAAATTCAAATCTCACCGCAGGATACAGTTCATATAATTAAGATTATTATGCATGAACTTAGGAAGGCACCACTCAGACACTTCTGTGTTAAGCAACTTTAATTTCTAAACAAAAACAACACTCTAATATGCGAACTCTTATGCTTGGAATTGTCAACACAGTACTCCTGGAGATGTTCTCATTTATCCGCACATTTAACCCTTAATAATCACGTTGGTTAACTGGGTAACAGAACAATTGATTAATTCCTCAGAGTAACGCGAGCATTTACAGCGATAGGAAAAAGTCCTTAATATTCATGCGACGATATTCATACGAATGGCAATAAAGAAACATGTCCCGAAGGTTAAAGTATACGGCAATGAATTCATTGGCAAGATTATATTATTAACTAAATGCCTTGGAACAATGGTGTGCGCAGTGTGCCGGTTACAGAAAATGCTTATCAATTGGCTAAGGCTTCAATTAATTCACGGGCAAGATTATGTGATTAAAAGAACAATTTCAACACAATATTCTCCCTGTGAGTGTGTAGATTCGTAACGTAGGTTTCTAAACGTTTAGTTTCATAAATTAATTCATTGGTAATATTTATGCAATTAAAAAGAAAAATAACGACTAAAATACTTCTAAACGAACTGTATCCAAGTAACTCAATGGGCGGCAATGTTATCAGCTAATAGTTGATGCACTTTATCATTAGTCTTCTTATTTTTGGCCCGGGTATGTGTTTATGTGTGGGTGTGGTTTGTCTTCTTGATCAATTCTTTGCGTTAAGCAGACGCCGAAGTTTGGGCATCCCTTGTATCAAAAATGTGTCTGTTTAACACGTAGGCTTTCGCGACCAATATTATTCATAATAAAGGTTTTTGGGTTAGATTGCGTTTATTTATAAATGTGTCGTAACCCTCCACCACCCGACACAGCCAATCAGCAAAAAAAGTGTCACGTTGACAAAAGACAAATAATTCACTACTTCAGCCCACCGGTGTGTTGAAGAGTTAATCCACATTTACAGTTTGAGTACGCCGTTTCGCTGGTAAATACATCCAGCGTCATCGGGCAATTCGCCAGAATGGTAAAGCCCTCGCTTGCTCCCGGTTTTATATAGAGCAGCAGGGTGACGTCATCACTTAACTCATATCAGGTGCAGTGATTAGAGGCGGAGGGGGGGTATTGTAATTATATAATCGATTAGTAATCAGTCATTGGTTATGATTAGTAATGAGTTGTAGATTAGTAATTCTTTAAATCAAAATGTAATGTGTATTATTTAATAATACGCTTCCAGGCCGCACTAAGCCGGTAGCTGTCAGAGCGATTAAAGTTATTCTTGTTCCTCTCAATTTCAATGGATTCTCTAATTAGTCTTTGCCAGTAATAATTAGTTTTACACACCACTGCAACATTGTCAAAATCAATTGAGTGTCCTTGTTGACAAGCATGTTCTGCCACTGCCGACAGTTGTGTTTGAGATAATTTAATATTTATCTGATGTTCTTTTAGTCTTACGCTGATGTTACGTCCCGTCTGCCCAATGTAGCAGCTGCCACATGAACAATTAATCCGATATACACATTTATAAATAAACGCGATCTAACCCAAAAACCTTTATTATGAAAAATGTGTTTGTTCCCTGCGCAGCGGTGAGGATGTGATGGTGGGTGTGTCTTACAGCGGATTCGTTGCTCTCTCTCTTGCTCGGGCGTCGACTTAGCTGAATTAGCTGCACCGGCACGATGCTCGTCCTTGAAGATGCTTGATCGCGCTAGCTGCTCGTCCGCTGGCAGCTGCAGGCTCTTTCCACTGCTGGAGGAGCTGCGTTGCACGCGCTTTCTCCTGCCCCGTGCTTCTGGCGATGAACGATGCGCTCGCAGTTCGTTCGCTGGTGGCAGACACCCTTGCTCGGTGGAGCTGGTTCTGGCACTCAGTGTATAATGACTTTGAGCGATACTACTTCTTCTGTCAGCGCTGAACTCGTACTCGGTGACCCGTCGCTACTCGGCAAGTCTCCCCATCCTTGGTTGATTGCAGAGCGCCCACCCCGGAGCTTGCCGCTTGCAGAACCGTCCCTTGCAGAGCTGAATTGTGCGTGTCGTGTCGCTGTTTATATCTGAAATTCTTACCCCTCCGCGCGTCTCTTGCGAGAAAAAAACAGATGCCCTCTGTCATCGTTATCCTCCTGTCGCAGCCACCTGGTTGCCCCCCCCCTTTTGACCTTTGACTGAATGTTTTACCATCACATTTTATATTTGTTTGCATCCCCCCCCCCACACCTCTCTTCGTGGTCTCTGCTAAAAGGGAGGGGAGGCACTCTCCCTTCATACGTATTTTATGGCTACCATGTGTTGTGTCAAATTGTTGGAAGACAAAGGCGGCCGGGAAGGCTCTGATTCCATGGAATACATATTATCTGGTCTTGTGTGTTTGACCTTTTTTATTGTATCTCTTTGAGTTACCCTAGGTCTAATCTCTTGTGATTATTATTTGGTTTATGTTTAACCAAGATTTGTAATGTCATTAGATGTTACCTCCGGTATTTCAAGGGTTTTATTAACTTTTGCTCCATGTCTGTATCCAGGGATCCGTGCTTTTTATTCTCGAGGTCAGAGATATAGCTTAGTTTGAACTTAAGCTTTCGTGATTGCAGGAACTCATGTACTTTGGTTTTCTTGGTAAAGTGACGTAGATAGAAAGATACAATAAGGAATAAAATAAGGAATACTGCAGTCTATAATGTCGACTTATTCTTAAAGCCATGCTTCAAACTTTTCCTGTATAAAAAATATATATATCAGTTATAATGTCCGTTTGCTCTGTGTCCTTGCCAGTGATTCAGGATATTTGTTTGTGAACTATCCAAAACGTCATGGCATGTGGTCCTTTGACAATCTGGAGATTTTGCAGATCGTCGTTAACCTCCCTTTGCACCGGAGTTGATTATTTAATGGCTCTTTATGGCCTCCTCCCTCGAGATGCTTTTAATGCGGTAAGGCAGCAGGGGGGGAGGGGTGGGGTGTGTCTCACCCTTTCCTGCCCCATGCTCGCCCCGATCAATTTAAAAAAATTGGCAGAGTTATTCTTAATATTAATTTTTGTAAAAAGGCCTATCTATACAACAGGCCCCACCTCTTAGTGGCAAGCTCCAGGTTGAGCAGCAGCGCGTCCAACTCCTCTTCTGAGTGAGCATTAATTACCAGATCATCGGCATACATAACGTGGTTGACCAATAGGGAGCCATCCCTTGACCGCACCCGGGCATCGATCAGCCTCCCATTGTATCTGTACCAGATGTGAATTCTTCCGGTAGAGGCATTGAAGGCTTAACGAAGTACGTGGTCCAAATATATGTAAAAGAATGTAGGAGGCAGAGGACATCCCTGTCGCACCCCAAGGTGTTTTCACACCTGATAATGATTGCTTGAGTTGCAGAGAATTTTATTGTTTTTATATTTTTATTATTTTATTGTTTCCCTTCTACGTGACTTTACCGAGAGAACCAAGAATATGTATCCCTGCAGTCACGAAAGCTTTAAATCAAGGTTGAAATTGTGTCTATGTCTATAAATATGGATGGACGTCATTAACCAGTTTAAGTCATAACTAGCTGTGATGTTTACATCCTACCTTTCGATGTTAGTTGTTATTTGCGGCTCTCTGATTGTACATTAACAGGTTAAATATCTCACACTAACACGGCCACCTCTGCGCGGTCGTCGTGGAGGCCGCTCTCCGATCTTACATTACATGCTAATTTCTTTCACATTAACATCACTAGCCCCGCCACCTTCGTTTATGACCCTTGGGCTACACCCATTCCAAACCTTTAAAACAGTCTGCCTCAGCAGCTATCCTCTCTTTTTTCCTCCTGATGACGATCGCTTGAGTTGTGATCGAAAGATCGTAGCTTTTCGTTACTTTTTTGTTATTTTCATTGAACCTATCTACATGACTTTACCGAAAGACCCAAAGAATAAGGGAAATTATATGTAATATGCCACTGCTGGCGGTCGGGCATCCACTAGCAGGAGGAGAGCGCTTAAGAGCTACTACCCCTCAGGGTAATTGGCCTACTCTTCCACGCTAGCCAGAGGTGGGAGTACCGACACTTTACACCAGCACATGCAACCTGTCAATCGACCAACTGTGTTGTTACCAATTTTTCCTCCTGTGTAGACAGAGGTGGTAGTGGGGGATTCAAGACACTTATTGTTTAAACTGACACGCAAGGAGATGGAACTGGTGGCAGCTTTTGGATTACACGTCCGGTGTGCTTACCATTCATTTACATCGCAGTAACACCCGCTTCTTCTATTTATCTCCGTTAAATTGTTATCTGATATGTTACAAATACATGATCATTTTATATTAAAATACTGTATGAACAGAATGGCATTAAACTTGCAATTTCATGGATGAAGTCACGAATTGTGTGTGACGCACGAATGTCTGTCCTAAAATATACTCAGCCCAGGATATTGTCAGTTCTATTAAACGCGAATATTAATCCCCTTTCGTATAGTGACAACGACATCGTCAGTACCTTCGTGATTATAACAGACGGTGTGTCAGACCGAGCGGGTCACGCGTTTGCCGTTTGTTACAGAGGTTTGTGTTCTGGACCACGGCCAGCTTATTAACCAGAAAATATATACACTGCTTCAAAGGGAACTATAAAGATTCCATGATGTTATTTGACAAAGAGTATGAGGACACGTGTGTTCGACATCATGGTCCAAATTTGGCAAATCACTTCATTGGGAAATGCAAAGCAGTCGTTGTCCCCTGTCTATAAAGAAACCCAACAAGGAACCCTCCTGAAAAGAGATCTTGAGAATCAGAGAGGCACTCCAGGTTAACTAATGTAATCATAGCTAGACAGTCTTTCATCTTTCATCTAAGACCACCCCCTGACCAGGAGCAATGGTTTTTTCCATACGTTAAATAGGTGTTCTCACTTGCACGTCGACTCACTTGAGAAAGTGTGCCCGTGCATCCTCGCTGTGCTGTCTAGTTTCTCTCTGCTGTCTCCCTTAAATTCTGCATAACAGAAAGAGGTGACGTTTGCATGGTCTCAGCGAGGATATGGGGTAAAAAATGTAAATGTTGCATGGGGTCATTAACCAGAGCTGAGAAAATCCGAGTAAAATTCTGCAAGCCATATTCATCAAACGAACGCAACATCAACTGCATCGGTGAGTTTTTTTGTTAATATTTCCAAAAGACAGCCGCGTAGTGATTATAGTATATATACCAATTTAAATTGCTTTTAAAATGTTAATACAGGTGTTGGTAGTCCCCAGGTGATTTGGTTTCTAACGTGATTATTTTTCGATTTAAAGCTTTCGTGACTGCAGGGATTCATCTTCTGGGTTTTTTCTACGTGACTTTACCGAAAGAACCCAGAAGATGAACGTGATTATTGTTTAACATTCTGCATACGTGCTCCTTTAATTAGTCACTGAATATTGTGGAATTTAAATGAGAAAAAATATACATTTTAGTGGATCCTACCATTAATATTTGATCATTTATGTCACATCCAAGCATACAATGTGACAATTTGTGTTCACAACCAATGAACATGACTTGATGATGAATGCTAAATGCATGATGTTATTCTAATTCAGAAACACTGCATTATTTGAAAAGTAAAAATATGGCTTTTGAAGCCCAGTCGGCTAAAAATATGTTTTAGTTAGTAACCAAATGTTACAGAAAAATTGCCCCTCAGGCAAACCGATTTTATCCGAAACGTAAAAAAAAACAATCGCTTAGATCCTGAAGGAAGCTCGCAGCGCATGCAGAAAAAACGTCGGACATCGTGCGATGTTGTCGTTACGACTGCGTGCCAGAGCAGGCCACCATGAACCTGTCGGAGTTCTCCGGCTTCATCGGCGAGGAGGCCACGACCGGTTGCCTGCACTACATCCTCGGCAGCGGAGCGGGGAGCTCTTCGAACGAGTCCTTGAGGGACGGACGAGACGACGACTCTGTGCCCAAGTTGCTGATCGGAGCGCAGCAGCAGGAACCCGCGTATGCGCGAGTCCCGATGACGCTCTTTTACTCGGCCGTCTTCACCCTGGGCATGCTGTTCAACGGGGCAAGCATTCTCACACTTCTCTTGAATTCACACCTCAAAGGTGAGAGAGAGAGAGCGGCAGCGAGAGTTTGGTGTCACTTTTGCAAATTCAATTGCCGGAGACGTCGCAGCGCTGAGCTGCCACCGCCTAGATGCGAATGCACGTTTCAGTTCCTTGTGGTTAAAACGGGTTCCCAAGTGGTGTTGTGGTTGTTGATAGTCCCAGCCCAATCATCAAGGATTGCACACACACACACAAATGAAACCCCACCAATATTTAATTTTGTTCTTCACTTAATGTGGATAAATTCGTGCTCTGATAATTAAAATGTCGGCTGTTATTTTCTCTCAAAAGACTGTTTCCCCACTTATTTTGTTTGAGCAGCAATTATTTGTTGTTCGCTCGCGCACAAAGAAGCAGCTTTCCCCTTTCCCAGGAAGCTGCAGAGCAGAGCCTGGCCCCTGGATGTCGCGAGTAGCTAATTAGCATGCGTGGAATGCACGATAGAGGGGTGATAATTCATGTATTTTCATTATACCATCATGGGGGCATTTAACAAAAAAATCTGTTTTACATTCGACTTTTTATTCAAATGATAGAGGAACGTTGTAAAGATGTATAATAATTATAATTATATCAGAATCAGAATCTTTACTTTGACTGGAGGAATTCGATGCGCTATGAAGCTCTTTTTCCACAGATGTTCAGTAGGGACGGGTCAGCGAGTTACAACAAGAAACAATACAACAACAACGAGAGTAGTGCAACATAGAGAAAAGGTATAAGCAAGTCACGGAAATAAATCAAAATAAATCAAGTATCTAAGTGCAAATGGCATACGTTCAAAAAACCCTGCAGATGTTTCTACACTAAATGCATGCTTGGGCAAGACAGCAAAACAACAAGAGTCTCAGACCACACCAAGGCAACACACAGTCCCTTAATACTATTGCAAATTGTAATTTAACTATTGATACATGGGTAAGGATCAAAGTCGTGATTTAATTTAGTTGTTTTCATTTTTGGTCTATTTATTTATTTTTTACCTGCGTGACTTTACCGAAAGAACCAAAGAGTATGGATCCTTGCAGTCACGAAAACTGCAAATCTAGAAGTTGAACATACATACATAATCCGCACCGATTGTCGGCGGCAGGCAATGTGGTGCGGAGCTACCTGCTGAGTCTCACCGTGGCTGACATCCTGTTACTTCTCACGGTGCCCATCACACTCTACCGCTCCTACTGGCACTACCACACCTGGCAGCTGGGCAACGTCACCTGCAAGCTCTACTTCATGCTGCGGCAGGTGAGCCCACACGCCGAAAACCCACTGTCAAAAAAAATAACACACGCACAACCCCTCCAAGTCCGATATCAGTGAACGGATTCAAGCAGCCACACGTTTCCGCTGTACAAAGCTCGTTGGTTATTGATGGTTTTTTGGTCAGTTTAAGCATGTACCGTGACGCTTGAAGCTTCTTTTAGCTGGCGGATGTCTCTGCAGGTATGTATGTTGACTTTCTTTCACACCGTACGTAGCCAACTGTGCCAATGGGAGGTTGCGGGGGAAGGACGACACAAAAAAGCGGTTCTAATAGAAATGCGTTTTTTTAAATCTCGATTTAAAAGTGCATAGCTCCAGTGGCTGCCGTATAGGTTGTTTGCAGAATCATTACCAACCAACATCAATCCACTGTTGAATGACGGTTTGGCCATGCTGTCGCCATCTCTGAGAGTCCTGCAACGTAGTCATCTAGCTCCTGCACGCAAGCGAATTGCATTGCTCCATTTCCATGGCGTACGTGGCCCTCTGCAGAGTTCCCTCCACCTTGGCCTTGCACCACCGAGCAAAACGTTACGCCCAAGCCCGTTTAGTTTTATTAACACTCAACACCATGTCTGTTAATGCATCTCTGCGTGATTCATAGTACTCTTATCAGTTTTTGTACAAAAAAAAAACGACAATTGGATGTCAATGTTTGCACAATATAAGCAACAACATTGGATTCATCTCGACATCCCTGTCATGCTGGGACTTGTTGTTGTGCTTTTTGCTGTCTAAAACACTTCTCTGTAAATGTCATTAGTTCCCGACCTGGTGGTATTTTCTCTTCCGCCGCACAAAGTGCTGAATGTGTTCACGGTAGCGCTGTTAACTTGGGCCATCACCCTCAATGGAATACTCAGGGGACGCTCTCTTCCCATTACCGAAAGCCATGGGGGGGGGGGGGGGGAGGGCACTTGACGCTGAGAGCCACATGAACACAATTCTTAGGTTGCCAAGTGGACCCCATTGGTTCCGACTGGTGGCCACCTAAAAGCCGTTGATGGGGGGGGGGCTTTAAAATCCTTTAGACTGCACTTACGGGTGGTGACGTAGCTTAGCTTCCTCGTCGAATGTGAAGCTGTGGAGGTGGCTGCGTAGCAGAGGAGGAGGTTCATAATGGCCGTGTCAGAGAACTACATCGTCACCGGTGGGGCAATGGGTGTCGAATCGGAATTGTCATCAAAATCGTGATTATTCCGGGTTCTCAGCTGCAGTGAGTTGATCGCCTGGTCACCAACCTTTTTCTTCTTTCGTTCGGCTGCTGATGTGGATGCAGAACAACTACCATCTCACATTCAGGTGGTGCCGCGTCAGGAGTAGCGGAGCGGTGTATCGCCGTGACATTGTTCACCAATGATTGGACAAGAGAAAGTAATCGTATTAAATTCGTATTTTTCATGTGATCAGACACTTCGGTCTGACTAACACGCGGCACACAGCATTTAGCAGAGGGCTACTGAAGTAATGGCAATCTTTTGGGAACATTCTTTACGCACGGTGGTTGCAATACTCGCTAAGAGAGCTGCGAATGATGTCACAATTAAGATGTACGTAAAATAATTGAAAACATGGCCACAACAAAAACTATTCGAACGAATTATGTAGTTCTAAGGAGTGGAGATGTGGGCATTTGGGAGGGCGCCATCAACCCTGGGGACATGAGTTCGATTCTCAGCCACGGCTCACATCGGCGGGGGGCGTTGGTATCAGAACTGGTCCTGGCCACCCACCCCCTTTTACCAACCTGCATTGACCAGTGTGGTGAAGTGTGTTCGTCAACGAACGTTGACCCAACGTTGCATGTTTACTCGGGAAATAGCTGTACAAGAAACTAGGCAACCCTGTGGCTTGAGCTCATCCGCCAGGTGAAGCCCTGCAACTGTTTGCTCACATCCCTGCCGGCAGAAGGAGCTCGAGAGAGTAGAAGCAGAAAGATACATGTTGTGACCTGCAGTGTGGTGGCTGAGTGAGTGAGAGTGTGAATGAGTGGGGGGGGGGGATGAACGTGTCCCTGGGCAGGTGTACTCCTCTGCTACGAGCTGGACCATCACGGCCTTCACGGTGGAGCGCTACGTCGCCATCTGCCGCCCGCTCCACTCCGTGTGGGCCCGGCGTCAGCGCCTCAAGCCGCGCGCGCCGCTCGCTCTGCTGGCGCTCGTCTGGCTCCTTGCGCTGCTCAGCTCGGCGCCCTTCGCGTTCACCTTCGGCGCCGCGCCGGCGTGCATCCTCGACTACACGGTGCAGCCGGGCAGCCGGGACGGGCGCGGCGTGCTGCGAGCCTCGACGGTGTGCGAGCTCACCGAGCGGGAGCCCTTCCGCGCCTACGGCGGTGCCATCGCCGCGCGGGCAGCCCTCTGCTTCGCGCTGCCGCTGTGCGCCATCGCCACGCTCCACGCGCTCATCTACCGCAGGCTCAGGAGGCGGTGCGGGCAGCGGAGCGCTGGTGGCGGAGGAGCGGGGCGAGCAGGAGGAGGGGGGCGAGGAGGAGGAGGGGGGCGAGGGCTGGACGCGGGCAGAGGCGCGCGCAGCCACGCGGTGCCGTGCGTGGTGGCACGGCAGCAGGACGAGCGCAAGGCGCTCAAGTTGCTCGGTGCGCGCGCGACGACTGCTCGAAGTGACCAGAGCCCAAACGAAACGTGGAGACGATGGGTGGGGGGTTTGGGGGTAGTTGGGGTGTGGAAGTGTTAAAGGGGGCGCAGCGCGTGAATTACTCAGTTGAAAACTCGTTAATTTTAGAGCCGCTTTTTGGTGTTCGTCCCCGCACCTCCGATTAGCGCGTTTGGCTAGGTACGGTGCGAAAGAAGTTAAACGTGTATACATACGTACATAAGCGAGTCATAGCCGTACCAGACCAGTCAACCAGTGTCGCGGTGTGTTATTTCAAAAGCTGAACCATCCTAAACAAAAACGTAATAATAATTCAAATGTATAATGCGCATTCCATCCTAGGATCCCAATACGCAATGAATGAAGAAACAACAACAGGGCAACCGAACAAACTGAAGAGGGGAGGACAGTTGAAAGAGATGGGTTTTCAAAGCAGACTTAAATATATCGACCGTCCATGAAAGCATTATTTGCACGTGTCATCCGGACACGATTTGACGTGAATCACGTACGAGCCTCCCCCACGGTGACCAAAAACGTGGAGCGCAAAAAAAATAATGTTGCGATCTCAGAGCAAATCAGAACTCGAAACGTAAAAACAATTGCCACTGAGGCTATTGGCAAATAGAAATCCCCAGTTAAGAATTCATACCTTTAAATAAATCATTAAACGTTTACCAACGTTCGACAAGGCGACGGTTTTTTCTTTTTTCGATTTAAAGCTTTCGTGACTGCAAGGATTCATCTTCTTTGGTTCTTTCGGTAAAGTCAGATAGACTGACTTTTGCTCAACCAGCTTAAAAGGGCGCTACGAATCTTAACAGCGTTTATTGAAGCTCTGTCGTCCCAACAGGTCTGTTCATTTTCACCTGAAGAAGGCCACTTGTGTTGTGGCCGAAACGTCGTGAGAATTGTATTGTTTTATTTTATTATTTTATTCTCATTCTACGTGACTTTACCGAAAGAACCAAAGAAGACGAATCCTTGCAGTCACGAAAGCTTTAAATCGAAATTTAACCAAATGTTTTTTTCTTTGTTCGCGATAAATCGCGCGTTGAATCGCGCCACCTCGTGGCGAGTGTGCGGCAATTGAATGACCAGCGGTGAAACAGCGCGATGGGATCACGCGGCAAGAGCGCTGTCTCTCGAGACGCGGCATTGGCTTGGGACAGATGGAAGCGGTACTTGAGGCCCCGCTCCTTCCACCGCACTACCGAACTAATCATTGGCCGTAGCTTTCTGCACCCTGGGAGATGGCAGTTAGAGCAAGTTGGTTTGCCATGTGAATCTCTTGAGTTCATGCCATTGGGTTTGTTTGTGGTTTCCTCACACATATATATGACACAAAACATGAACTCGGAACTGGTCAGACATGCCGAATGCAGGACTCTCTATCGCGTCTTTCCTGGCTAAACGAACGGACAATCCTCACCGCGTGCGCGCGCCCATCTCCTCCTCCCAGGTGCCGTGGTGGCCGCTTTCTTCCTCTGCAACTTTCCCGAGACGGTGCTCTCCTTGGTTCACATCCACACGGGCCAGTGGAGCCAGGAGGTGCACGCCACGTACACGCGGCTCAAGTTCTACCTCTCGCTGCCCGCGTGGTACGCAAACAGCGCCGTCGACCCGCTCCTCTTCTGCATCGCCTCGCGCTGCTTCCGCTCGGCGTGTCGGCACACTCTTACGTCGCTGCTCGACCGCGCTGCCCTCGCCCTGCGGCTGCTCCTTCCGAAGCGGAGGGTGACGCTGGCGGTGCTGCGCTCATCCTCGTGGAGCCCGCCCGAGGCCGAGACCGCCGGCGGGCCCGCATCGGCGGGGACGCCGCTGCTGCTGTCGTTCAGGCGGGGGGTCACGTCGCCGCCGCTGGCGGGGTCACGCGTGCTGCCGGTGGTCACGGTGGTCACGGTGGCGGATGACTCCTCGCACTCCCTGCCGACCGCGCGGTCTCCCGCGTGGTCGGCAGGGATGGCCCGCAGGGGGTCGAGTGGCGTCCTCGATCGCGAAGATTAGCTCCGCGGGAGCTCATCCGTAGTTGAAAAAAAATGTAATTTCAAATGTGTTCGCAACGAACATTTCTCTCTGTAGTTGGGCAGATGGGGTCTCAGAAGTTGTTCTGCAAAATCTGCTTATCACGGGCTGATTTCATAATACGTGGGGTTGCAATACCACGTCACGTTACTTGACCCCGATGGTATAACTTAAATACAACAGAGACAACCACAACAATAAAAGCGAAAGAGTTTGAAGCACACTTATAAGTGTCACGTCACTGGTTTCTCGTGCTAGCCAACATTATTGTGGCTGTTATATGAATTCGCAATTCGATTTGACCGTTCCTTTTGTAAGCCAGTGGAAGCCGAGTGAGGTACGTATCATTGGTCCGATGCACATCTTTCTGAAACAGCCGAGACACACACACTTGGTGATTTGCTTTCATTGTGTTCATGGAGACATCGGCAGAAGTTATCGCCAACAATCCGCGTGACCATGCACATTTGCCAAAATGTGTTATGTTCATAAGTTCGATCCCAGACCCTGACGCCTGTATCGATGGATACCGAAAACGTCGTGTTTTATTTTATTATTTTTTCTATCTACGTGACTTTTCCAAAATAACTAGAGAGTATGGATTCCTGCAGTCACGAAAGCTTCAAATAAAGACTGTATATATGGAGTTGTCATGTTCTCTGCCCGTGGTGGTCCTGTGGATTTTTTCACCGGGTCCTCCGGTTTTTCCCTCCACATTTAGAAACATGCGTTTAGATTATTTGACTCCGACTATAAGTTAAACGCGTGACGATAAGCCGCTTCGATGGGCTATCGTGTGGCTAGGGCGCCTCTAAAAAGAACTGCTAGCTCAGTGGGCTTTACCTGATAAAGTAAAATAGTTAAAATCTTGACTTAAAGCTTTCGAGACTGCAGGAATTCATCTTCTTGGGTCTTCCGGTAAATCAAAAATAACAGAAAACTACAACGTTTCCATCGAAACGTCGTAGTTTTCTGTTATTTCTAATGATTTTCTTTGAACCTATCTACGTGACTTTACCGAAAGACCCAAGAATATAAAACAATTTAGTTCATAAGGGTGAGCCAGATAACCTAGGTTGTACAGATTTGCTTTTAGGATTTTTTTTCAAACACCCGAGCGCTCACTGAGTGGTCATTCAGCATGATTTTTCATGATTTTCCATGATCGCCAGTGGATTCAATAATTTATTCTCTTGGTCTCTTTTTACCATTTTGTTTGTATTGTTTATCACTTGATCAGTATCATAGTACAGTTACGTCAGCACACGAATATGAATCCAGTAACATGGTGTCTGTTCAAACGAGAAATGGGGGGTACTGATCGCTGTTGGCGACCTTTACACTGGTGGCAACTCCACATTCCCATGGCAGGGGCGACGTAATCATTCCTTGAAGATATCGTGCGATTAAAAAAATCAGTGTGCAGGTTCTTGGTGGAATATTACATAACGTGGGTCTTCAAAGCATAAAAGTACACAGGCATCAACACACTTTGTAAATCTAGACTTTCATTCGAGTCTAATTGCGTTTTTTTATTATTGTGAATAAGGATGGTTCATCTCGAGTGTAAACACCTTTGCAATACAATTATCAATATAAAATGATAACAATCAGGTGTTGAGGTCCACATGGCAATAGTTTAATTTCACTTTATTTGCATCAATGAGTGGATTAACGTTTGTCAAAATTCAGAGGACATGACATTAACTTATAGGACTAAAAAACACGATCATTCAACTGGAAAAAAATGCCAGAGAGGTTTAAAAATGTTTAACTGAGACCACAAGCAACTCATGGTTGACATTACATATTTACAAAAGAAAAAAGCAAATACTATCAACTCTCAAAATAACACAAACGGCAGCGTACATGGCTTTGGAACAAACATATGTTGCGTGACAAATGTATACAATGTTCAATGTAAATGTACAACACACCTAACAAGGACATATTCTTCATGCTAATAAGTAATGGTAACATATATAGTTAATTGACCTTTATATTTTACGTACGGCTCATTACGTGCTTCCTTTCATGTACAGCCGTGCCCAAGCAGCTTCGATTCTTTGATATCATGCACGGATTTCGGACGGAATCTTCATTGGTGCGTACTTCTGTCGTGCTGCGATTTGAAAATTGACGTGCACACTGGGTGGGGAGCCACATCACGAGGTGAAGAATTGCCTTCTTCCTCTTGACCGCGCTGCTCACATGCTCGATGGTAAATTCGTCACACGCGGACCGCACCCGCTGCAATCAAAATGCGCCGCGTTCACCAACGCCGTCACCGGACTCGACATTAATCGCTGTTCTTTGGTAAACAGAAGCACACCTACCCCGAACGTTTCTTCTCCGTGACCTCTGCAAGGCAACGCATGACACGGCACCCGACTTGGCTGCTGTGCGTCTCGGACGTAGCTCAGCGTCTACTGCGCCTCGCCGCCGTTGAAATGCGTTGACAAGAGCATTCCTGTTTCCAGAACGGCAAGTGTTCCTTGATGAAGCAGGGAATGGCCTTGGCTCCTTGTCTGAAAAACCATCTCGACCCGTGTCCTCGCTCTCCAACGCACAGCCGGGGTTTGTTTATCTTTCTCTTGCTGCCCACCGCTCCATTCCTCCCGGGAGGACAAAACTGCGAGCGTGGCAAACGTCGAGAAGAAACGACGCCGTACCGCCACCCGTGCCATCCGCTCCCGCCGCCGCCGGGAACCAGCGCCGCCACCCGCCGCGGTCGAGCGGCCGGCTCACGCGGAGGCCGCGTCAGCGCTCAGCTGACCGTTCCGCGGGCCAGCCCGGCTCGCCGGGGCCCAGCGGGCGCACGACGCGCACGTGTACGCCAGCGCGGCCAGCAGCAGCGCGGCCAGGAGGAGGGAGAGGAGGGCCAGCGTGGAACCGAAGGCGGCCTCGGGGATGGCTCGCGGCGCCAACTCCACGGGGATGAGGTTGGTCTCGTTGAGCATGTAGCCCAGGGCCCAGCCCGCCTCCCCGATCGCTTGGATGCCCTCCACCTGCTCGGCAGGGCGGAGACGCGAAGCGCAAATACAAAGCGTGAGCACGGGCGCCGGATCCACCTTTGCAGCGGACTGCACGCGCGGGGCATCTCTGCTCTCTGCGTGCGTGCGTGCGTGCGGGCACACCCACGCATCCGATGTCTACCACCATCAATTCCTCTCATCCTCGGCGTGTTCAACTGCTCTGTCCCTTCTCCCTTCACTCGGCGAGGCTACGCAGAACAAAGCAAACCGCGGCAGGAGGTGGGGGAGGTGACAAGTTTAAATTTCGTGTCGGCAGCGCCTCGACGGCTCACCTTTTTGACAAACTTGATGTTCATCCACGTCGATAAGTTGAACTTGTAGCCGTGGAAGAGCAGCTGCAGCAGGTAGTTGGCGGAGAAGCAGTAGGACTTGAGGTGCTTTTGCTCGGTCTGTGACGAGGCCCGCACCTGTTCACGGACGGAAGGAGCCGAGTTTAGCAAGACGGTGCGATGTGACGCCTTGTTCGGTGGCAGTCCCTTGTCGCGAATAAGGGGCAGAGAGGGCAGTGCCCCACCAGAAAAGTACCATTCCCCAGAAGGTCATGTTTTAAAATAAAACTTGCGGAGTGCCCGATTCGTGAATACCGTGCATATGAAATGATAACTCTGCTCGAACCACCGATGCTTTCTGCGAAGCTCCCAGATGGCCATTACTCAGTGGGAGGTCGCTCATTTTGCACTGTTGCTCTCATACCTGGGAACTCCCTTATCTACAACTATCTCTCCTGTTGACTCCCCCCTGTTCAAGTGCAGGCTGAATGCCTTTCGAACTCTGCCTGTGGATGCCTTTCCCTTTAAAACAAATATGCCCGCGGTGTCTGTACAGAGTCTCGGAATGTGATCGCTTTCATCTGCTGTGTAAATCCAAATCGCAGCGTGTTGTATTAATGTATCCAGAAAATCCTCACTGAATTTCACGGCTCTTTTTTTTACAGGAGGATCCTGTATGTATGTTGAACTTCGTTCGCACCGTACATAGCCAACCGTGCTAATAGGTGGTTCATTGGGTTGTTTGGCCAATTGCTTTTTTAAATAAGGATTCGCTTTCCTGTCCAAATGTATATGTACTTTTGTGATGTAGTGGTTGTGCACAGCGCTACGAACCTGGCTAACCCGAGTTCGATACACAGCTACGGCTAACATCAGTGGCGACTGTCTGAAACAGTTCTGGGCCGTCCGCTCCCCCTCCCGCCCCCAGGTCGACTCAGCCTTAACCTGAGTACTTGGTGTGGAATGTGAAAACATCAGCAATGGTGGGGAGACATTAAGGTTACTGGGCATGTTTCTGGCCTCACCACACTTGGTGCACAGTCACAGACCTTGCTCCAACAGTGAAGGCTAAATGAGAGTGTTTGGCTTTTTTCACGTCGGGGGAAACCCCCCCCCCCCCCCCCAATAATCTACATATGTATTCACGTAGTATAGTGTCACGTGAAAATAATGCTGAATAAAACACCAGGAGCTTGCCTCGTTCCAGGGTTTGTTGCAGAATCTCTTCACGACATTGCGAATGTAGTCCACGTTGCCCTCTCCTCTCAGCTTTAGGAAATCCATCACGTAGTAGAACGCGGAGAAGGCCTGGTACGAAGTGAAAGGGCATCAGCCAGGATCAGCCATCGCGCATGCCAGGGGTATAACAACCAACCACACCAGCCACCCCCCCCACACGTCGTCAGTTCGATGAACTGTCGTTAGTGAGCATCGCGATTAGATTCAAGAATCCTTTTGCTTCCGTGTGAGGTTCCCGAGTGTGGTCCCCGAGTGTGGTTCCCGAGCGTGGTTCCGAGTGTGGTTCCCGAGTGTGGTTCCCGAGTGTGGTTCCGAGTGTGGCTCCCGAGTGTGGTTCCGAGTGTGGTTCCCGAGTGTGGTTCCCGAGCGTGGTTCCGAGTGTGGTTCCCGAGTGTGGTTCCCGAGTGTGGTTCCGAGTGTGGTTCCCGAGTGTGGTTCCCGAGCGTGGTTCCGAGTGTGGTTCCCGAGTGTGGTTCCCGAGTGTGGTTCCGAGTGTGGTTCCCGAGCGTGGTTCCGAGTGTGATTCCCCGAGTGTGGTTCCCCGAGTGTGGTTCCCGAGTGTGGTCCCCGAGTGTGGTTCCCGAGTGTGGTCCCCGAGTGTGGTTCCCGAGTGTGGTTCCCGGGTGTAGTTTTCCAAGTGTGGTTCCCGAGCGTGGTTCCCCGAGTGTGGTTCCCGAGTGTGGTCCCCGAGTGTGGTCCCCGAGTGTGATTCCCCAAGTGTGGTTCCCGAGTGTGGTCCCCGAGTGTGGTCCCCGAGTGTGGTTCCCGAGCGTGGTCCCCGAGCGTGGTTCCCGAGCGTGGTTCCCGAGTGTGGTCCCCGAGCGTGGTCCCCGAGTGTGGTCCCCGAGTGTGGTTTCCCGAGTGTGGTTCCCGGGTGTAGTTTTCTAAGCGTGGTTCCCGAGTGTGGTTCCCGAGTGTGGTTCCCGAGTGTGGTTCCCGAGTGTGGTCCCCGAGCGTGGTCCCTGAGTGTGGTCCCCGAGTGTGGTTCCCGAGTGTGGTTCCCGAGTGTGGTTCCCGAGCGTGGTTCCTTCTCTCGAGCGTTCACCAAGCAGCGCTGCTTGGGCTCCTCTAGGAGCGGAAGAGGCACGCAGGGGGTTACACGTTGCTGGTAATCGCGAGAGAAAGAACGCTCAACGTGGAAACCCAGAAAACCACACTCGGATGCAAGCGGCTGTTGCTGCAAAACAAAAACCATCCACGCGATTTATTTCTACGCCACGCCGGGAGATCGGCTCGAACCAGTGACCCCTGGATTGCAAGTCCACCGCGCTACACATTCCACCATGGCAACACCCCACGAGGTGTACGTACATCCGTACGCAATTCCCCACCGCGTGCACATTCCACATTTTTTTAATTTACATTTCCCGACCGAAACGGAGGTGGACCCCCAAATGCGCACGTGCACTGACCATGAAGGAACCGGACACGGGCGGCTGGTAGACGCCGTCGAACGTGCAGTCCTTGCGGCCGGCGCACGACGAGTAGTTGAAGATTTGCGCCACCGCCTCGGCGCACTGGTCAGCCTGGCCGGAGCCTCGCAGCAGCACGCGGCCCTGGAGGGGGCCGGAGCCGGCGCCGCCGCCGCCGCCGCGCGGCCCGACCGCCGGCTTGAGCGCGGCCGTGCACGGCTTCCCGAACATGTACCCCACTTCCAGCCGCTCCTCGAAGCCGCTGTGGTAGCACGGGAACGTCACCTCCACGTCCGAGGACGAGTTCTGCGCGACACGGGCGTGCAGTGAAACGTCACTATGGCGTCATTATCATCGCAAAGTTCCCGCTTTGCGAGTTGTCCCCAAATCTGATGCCCCTCACGTAGAGTTTTAAACAAAAACGCCACCGACTCAAATGCAGGCGAAGTTGCCCGAACGAAAGTTGCGTTGGATCTAACGTTCAGTTTCTCCGGTCACCTGATAAACATTACACATGAAGTTTTCACTGTACACAAATACTAAATAACCGTACCTACACGATACGATATAAGTATTGTGAGGATAACGGGTAGGCAGGTTTTAGGATCATTAAAGTTACGGCCAAGTTCTTAGCTGGAGGGAGCGCAGGAGGTCAGGGACGCTGTATCCAGGTAACAATCCGGATCTGGGTCGGGCCGAGCGAGCACACGGGGTGAGGGCGATAGTCGGCCTACATTGAACTTCTTTAGCACCGTACGTATCCGACCGTGCGGGGGGAAGAAGGACAACAAACTAAACACAAAAAGCAGTTATAAAGAAATTAGTTTTCAAGGTAGATTTAAAAGTACATAGCTCCAGTGACTTGCTCACATTGGAAGGAAGAGCGTTCCAGACGGCCGCAGAAGCGCACCTGAAAGCGCTCGACAGCTAAGGGCTAGAGCTTGGGCTAAGGTCAGGGCTGGGGTCAGCATTAGTGTTAAGGTCAAGCCTTTAACTGGAGGGAGCATAGTGTCAGGGACACATTCGGGCACACGGTGCTGGTCACAGGCGATGGTGGCGTGGGGGCAATGACGTGGTGGGCGAGCGACGTGCCTTCCAAGCCTCCGCCAGCGCGCCGCGTGAGAGCGTGGCGGCGACGCGCATCAGCGCCTCGTCTTTGCCGTAGCAGAGGTAGCTGTGCGTGAACACCGCGTGGTCGTAGCCGTACAGGCGGAAGCGCTGTGTGCCGCTCAGCGCCCCGCCTGCGGGCACGAACGCGATCTGCGTGGACGCCCCGCCCAGGTCGAGGGCCCCCACCGTCTTGGCTCCCCTCGGACGCACCCAGGACAGCCAGTCTCTCTGTTTGGGTTGGGAGGGCACCCAAAACGACGTACGTCGGTAAAAAGATAATAATAATTATATATCAATATTGACAATCGGCTCACTCGCCACTTAGCGCATTTCAAACGCATTAATAAACTAAAACTAAACTTTATTATTTTACCAGGTAAGGCCTGCTGAGCTATACAGCTATTTTTCAGAAGCGACCTGGCTATCACAAATTATAGCCCAACGAAATGGCTCAGCATCATGTCGAAGTTTCTAAATGTGGAGGGAAAAACCGGAGGACCCGGAGAAAAATCCACGCGACCAGGGAGAGAACATTCAATCTCCAAATATACAGGCATCAGAGTCGGGATTGAACCCACGACCTTCTGTATACTAGGCGAGGTAGTTAACATCTCGCCAACGTGGCGCCCTACAATCGAGGAAACATTTCTAGAAGCAACTATTGGCGTGGGTGCTCGCGGTTTGGTGCTGTGTAGCTCTCCGATAGCGGCACGACCTGCAAACGTATCGGAAGGCCACTTCTATGAAGGCAGTCGTTTGGCCTTTTCACGTGCACCTCTGTGCCAACCCAACTCGTGTTGACGTAGCTAAATCAACACCGAAAGCAATCGGCCACCTCTTGGAGGAAAACGCTTAATTCAACACCGTACCGTCGTAGGCATCACCACTTCACGTGCCGATTACGGTCCACGCATTTACTGCTCATGTTAATAGACTCACCGCTTAAAGAAGATAAGGGCCCTTTGTTTATACACTTTGTTAGATTAATGTCCCCCCCACACCGTGTTGGTCACCGGGGATTGTGTTACTGTACTGCACCACGCCGGTCAGCCAGCGCACCTTGGTGGAGGGGAGGCCACCGGGACTGTTTTTTTACTTCGCTCAATAAAAGTAAATCATTGGCTGCAGGAGGGGGAAATCAAATTGGGGCCAGCGGGTTCACAGTGCGGCGCGCCAACCACTGCACCGCGTCGCCGCCACGCAGCGGCGAGGGCTGGGGGGGGGGCGGCGCTGGTCACCTGGAGGAAGTTGCCCTGCAGGTAGTTGATGGTGACCCAGCCAAAGGCGCCCTCCTCCTGGCCGGTGAGGATGCGAGCGCTACAGAAGAGGAACGGCGTCGCCCGCAGGGCGGTCTTCACCGACTCCATCACCCGCTCCGCGGCCTCGGGGTTCTGCTTGCTGGAGCCACGTGTCGTGCAGAGGTAGACAACAGAGACAAAGATGCCCCCGTGTAGCCTCAACAGACTGTTGGGGCAAGTGCTGTTAGCGAGTAGTACCTATGAAGGTCGGGACGGCACACCAAGGGAGTGGGTGGCCAGCACCACGCCCGACCACCTTTGTCTCCCTAGTGGCGATATTTACACATCGCACCAGGTACCCATTTGAGGCTGAGTCGACCTAGAGGAGGCCCAGGATCAGTTCAGCACGCACGCACGCGCGCGCACACACACGCACAAAGCTCAGATATATCCCACGTTAGATGTGGGTTTACAGTTTTTCTTTATTAATCCGAAAAGATGCAAACACCAGGCCTAGATATTAACTTTTGAATGATCCGGGTTGAAAATTTTATTATAATTATTTAGGATTAATAAAAAATGTGATGTCACCAGCAGTGACATCACAGTACACAACTTTATCACCACACAAATTGTCGGGGCAGTTCGCTGTTTGTTGCATTTCAGCATCAGCCATGGGCTATCCACTGCTGGATGGAGGCGTCCCCCTTCAAAGCTTAATTCTAGATTTGAAGTTTTCGTGACTGCAAGGATTCATACTGTTGGGTTTTTTTCGGTAAAGTCACGTAGGTAAAAAAATAAAATAAATCACGACCTGAAGAAGGACGCTTGTGTTGCGCCCGAAACGTCGTGATTGAATTCATTTTAAATTTTTTACCCACGTGACTTTACCAAAAAAAAGAGTATGAACCCTTCAAAGCTGTCGTCCCACATCTCTCAACGGCCTTGCAATTCGATTGCATTACCCGACGTGTACACTAGGTGGTATGCAATGGTCTTCTCCACAGTCGCACATGCAATGCGATTTATCTTTAGGGGAGCATTCACAATTCCCTTCCCCGGGGTTGCCTGCGCCCCCCCCCGCCCTATCAACCAAGACACGTTGGGTACACCACGGGGGCCTGTCGGATATTCGCGTGCGGTTACTCTTTGGTTCTTTCGGTAAAGTCACGTCGATGAAAAATAAAAATAATGAAAATAATAAAATGAAAATAACTAAATGAAATCCCGACGTTTCGGGCGCAACACAAGCGTCCGTCATCAGGTGGGAAAGCCTTGGTCTGCTGCTGATGCAGACTGATTTAAAAGGTTTGAAATGGGTCTAGCCCAAGGGTCATAAAGAAGTGACTGGGTCTAGTGTTCTTGTGTTACAGCGAGCATCTAATGCAAACATTTAAAAAATATATAGAAACATTCACATATGTGTGTTTGCGTGTGCGACCGACTCAGCTGGCAGCAGGCTGTGAAAACAGGCCTCGGGAGAGGCGAGAAGAAAAGACAGTCACATCGTGTGGAAGGCCACGAGGGAGCTACGTACAGAAAAAGCAACAAACACCTCTGGAGCTTCCACCACATTCACTTGCGATGGCTGTTGCATGGAACGCCACTCAAGAATTGGCCCAAGTCATTCTGGGCGCTGCAGACCACACAGGTGACCTCGTAAGGCGCAAAAGAAGAGTCTCCCCAGACACACAGGCCTCATAGTAATAGTATAGCAGTGTTTGTATAAAGAGCAGTTAGTGGGAATTTGTTGCTGCAGGCACACCATTAATCCCGATATCTGTGTTTTTTTTAGTGGGCAACAGGAATCGCACAGAAATTTCATCCCATTGCCCGCAGTGTCTTGAAGAGAAGGAGAAAGCGTGCGGCAAATGCATTTTATTGTTGTTACAAATCCGCGAGTGACTGCGTAGATAAGAGGTGGGTGGACTCGTCAAAGTATGCCAATGTCACAAGTCAACATATAACAATCATACATTGGGGTGTAGTTTTGAGGGTAATCATTTATAGCACCGAAAACCCTCTCTATCCGCGAGGGTTACGTGCTTGAAAACGCTCGCGAATGCAGAAACCTTGTTCCAATGGGGAAAAATGGCGAAATATGGCTTATCGATGGACTCCGTCACAGCATTGAGACATACGTGGGAGCAGCAGTGGTTGGCGGAGCATGGCTGTAATCTAGCACTGTGCACGCGAGGGTTGGTGGATCACACACATGTTGCAAGACTTCCTGCCTGTATGGGATAGAGCAGTGTTCTCATTACAAGGCCCCGCGGGCCACTGGCGGCCCCTGGTGGCCTTTAGTGCGGCCCCTGGCGTGCGGCCCCCCACAATACACAACACGTGACAACACCCCCATCATCATCGTGCTGCTGTCAAACTCGCAATGGTTTCAAATGTCTGATGGCCCTCATCACACCGATAATGTCCTCTATCGGCCAAAGTGGCTGCCTCCCCCCCTGGGACGGAGTGTTTCACCCTCGCACGCGTGGTGGGTTTGAACCAGCGGCCTTTTCGATCGCTCTACCCCCGCAGAGCCTCGTGGCCGGTTCAAACGGGACGCCCGGACAAAGCGGAGAGCCGAACCGACGGCGGAGCAGCGGAAAGGGAAGGCTGCGAGCGCGACGCCGCAACGGCATCCGCCGAACTAACCGGAGCAGTCGCATGCCGGCTGTGGCGCCCACGGAGATGGGCGTCTCGTGGTGCCTCTCCGGCGGGACGAGTTTCGTGGCGTTGAAGAGACTCGGCACCAGGGACTGCCCGGCCATCTCCGGGTGATCCTTGTAGCTCGATATGCCGCCTCCTGCAGCGAGCAAAGGACCGCACGAGCACGCACGCACGCACGGCATGAGGTGCTGCAGCGTGGAGAACTCCACTCGTATAAGTGGATCGTAATCGATGGCTCAATGCATCGTTACGAACCCGTGTCTTACACGTGCACAGCCCATTTTGTCCGGATGGCGGGTCGTGGGAGATATTGTGAGCGTACTTCACTCAGCGGGTCAGTGCAGCTTAACCGAAGGCAGGGAGCACAGATGTTGGAGCATAGTACAGCGCAACAATTGATTTTGTCGCACTGCCCCACTAGTGACAATCGTAGCCCCGCGGCGATCCGGCAGCAAAATCCCGTGTAGTTCACATTCTGATGTCATCAAATATTTCTTGATCGTGGGCGTGGCGACCTTGGTCTCAGGGTCGCGTGTTGCTGAAGGTCAGCGGAAAGTCAACGCATCTCCATATCTTGCACATTTCAGCTTATCTACGTTTCACATGCCGCATTATCGGCGTTGCGATGCATCGAGACAGCACGTTATTGGGGGAGGGGGGTGCATGCAAGTGCTTGCAGAAAGCCACACTTAATTTGAAGTGTCGATGACGTTGGGTGTTGTTGCTTTTAAACCATCTCGTTTGCATTGTTTCCCCCCGTTCGTTCCGTCTCGTGGTGCAGGTTTGTTCGCCATCACAGCAGAGCCGTAAAACTAAAATGAGCGTCCCATTTGCCGCGACACGCGACAGAGATCGTCTGTCCGTGGCGTTGTTACCGCTCCATATTTCTCCCCTGAAGGACGACCACGTGTAAATTACTGGTATTCCATTTCCTTTTTGCTGCGTTCACACTCCCATTGCTTGCCCTGAGCCGAGGCATTCAATAATTTCGTTTTTTTTGTGTTTAAAATATTGTCTTACAGAGGAACGGCACCATCATCGATCTTTGGCTCAACATCTCCGGCTCCTTCGAAATCTCCCCCCCCCCCCTCGCCCCAACAAATCTTTTTGGGCGTTTCAGACAACAATCCGTTCAGTTTGGTTTGTCTCGCCGTTCCCTCCCCGCACCAATTGCACCGTGACGCCACACGGAGGCCACGTTGCCGTCGGTCGCGCGTGCACTGTAAGCCTGCACGCACACAGGAGAGCGTGATACGCGTCATCGTCGCCGCCGCTGCTGCTGCGTCATGTGCGCGTGTTGCAATGCTGCTGGCAAAGTGAGTCACGGGGAGGACCTTCCTCCCCTCGTGTCTTCCACCACCCCCCTCCCCCCCCCGGTGTATAGGGTTGGCCCAGTCTGCGTCCGTACCAAGTTCACCATCTCATTTGCATTTCTTTTTTTCACGCTTTCTCCGCCTCGCTCTGCAGCCTTCTCTTTGAGCCTGCATCTAGCGTCGCAGTTAGAATCTGAATCTTTGTTCTGGTGAAATTCAGTGAGCTGCGAAGCTTTTTTTTTACAGATGTCCAGTGGGGGGGGGGGATGGGGGTTACAAACGTACAACAACAAACAATACAAAACAATCGATAGGAGTGCAAAGTATAGGAAAAGTAAGCGAATCACTGAAAAAAGAGGAATGTTCTAAAACTTGACTTTATTTTACCAGGTAAGGACGACTGAGCTAGTAGTTTTTTGTTTTGTTTTCAGAAGCGACCTGACCACAAATGATAGCGAAACGAAGTGGCTTATCACGTGGACTTTTACAGCAACCAAATGCTCTAAACATAAGCACCCCACCCACCTCACTATTTGCATAAAACGTGCATTATGCGTAAACAATTATCACACGTGAAATGTTACACGTGCATCGTTGCTACGGCAATATACATTTTTCTTTTCTGATTCATCGCATTGTTGGATTCGTTCCACTGTACGTCCCGGGCAGTCTTGGACTGGGCCATCTGGGAACGAGGAATTTGCCCCCTAATTCTAGTTTTGGAGTTTGGCCATCGCAGTCAGTACACACGTGGGTCCAACTTAAACATTCACTTCAATCGGCCAGCGAAAGATTTACGCCGGCACCAGCGCATGGATGGCTCGCGTCCAGGATCGACTCGGCGAACTAAAGCCTGAATTTCCCCAGTGGTCCGTTCCCACCCCACGGTTAGGCACCAGCAAGGCTTCAATAAAACTTTGGAAACACTCTGCCAAACATAAACACGAAAGCAGGTGGAGGCCTGGAGAGAGAGAGGTGAAAGGTTAGGTGGGTTACTTTTTGCTGAAAATGTGTTGGTTGTTTCTTTCTCTCATTCGATAGCCAGGTTTAGATACCAGCTTAATGTCGGCCAGGCACAAGCAACAATTCGGGTCACGTTTGTGCCCACCTGCTTCTCACCTTCACGGTACACGGTCGCATCCCTTTGCCCGAGCCCTTTCACCACAGGGCCTAGGTCATCCACCAATTAAAACAATGTATTGGTAGGAACCTCCTGGTTACACCAGCCCACAGGGGATTATTGTGTCCGTCCGTCCGTCGTGCATCCAAAAATGGGAGGGGCTGGGTGGAGAGGGGAGGGTGGGGAGGGGCTGGGTGGGGAGGGAGGGGCTGGGTGGGGAGGGGCTGGGTGGGGAGGGTGGGGAGGGGCTGAGTGGGGAGGGTGGGACTGGGTGGGGGGTGGGAGGGGTGGGGCTGGGTGGGGAGGGGCTGGTCACCCCGTGGTGCCCTTATAAAACTCAACGTTTAACCTACTCACGCCGGCTTGTGCCCGCCCTCACAGTCGGGCATATTTGCGGAATACACCACGTGGTGGTGCCGTTGACCCTGGCCATTGACCGAGCAACCCAACGTTCCTACCAGCTCCCTCCGCAGGAATGTGTTCATTCGTCCGTCGCGCATCGTCAGCGAAGGGACAGTCAGCGCCAAACGTGTGACCTCTTTGTGACGGCGTTCGCATAAACTTGCTCTTGCTGCCGTACACCGGCATCTCGAGCGATGTATTTGATCCACGGATCACGAGGCGGGGGCGGCGACCATGAGGGTGGCAGCATTCCTTTAAGTGTCCGGCTGCTTCGAACGTCGACCCCCAACTGAAGTGAGCGCAATTTGCCGGAGTTTGCGCATCAAGACGGGGCGACGTGTCCACAAAGGGTCACAGCCGTCTCCCTCGAACTAAAGCTCTCGATCGCGAGGAGACCGGTCGCAGATGCAACGGTGAAATTTTTAACGTAATCAAACCATCGGATGCCAAGTATATAATTTCCCAGCGCTGATATTGAATATCAGCAGGCTGCCTGCAATCCAGTGACCAGGTCGATTGTACATTTCAGCATCAAACACTGCTTGACAATGAAGCACTGACGATACTTCAGCTGATAAGTGTGTGCTTTTGCACAGTGATGGAGACGTTTTCTAAGAATGAACACGTGTCATGGATCAAACGTTCTGCCTAAGGGCTATGGTACCACATGTGAATTACCGATCATCAATCTCTCTTTTACCGCGCTCATGCTCCCATTACTTGCTATGAAGCCTTCGGTGATTTGTGTTGTTCTCTGGAATCTCTTTTCTCATTATTTTTCAACACGGCTTTACAGGGTTATGTGTATTCTATATGTTATTTGGCGATTTTATCCGTGTTTTTATTTCTCTCGTCTTCATCATGTGTGTATTTGTGGCTTGACATAAAACCTGTTGTCTTTAGTTTCAATCTCAGTGCACAGTCCATTACTTTGTCAGTGATGTGATTCTTTCACGTGGCAACATCCATTTCCACACGTTGCTTCTCTATTCATTTTAATCTGTTGCTTAGTTTAACTCTGCTACGTCCTAATCTAGCTGCTTCCAGTTCACGATCTTGTTCTCACCTTTAATAAGCGCTGCCCTCTCTTTGGCTGTGTGTATATATAAGGCAATTGTTGAAGGCGGATCTGTGATGGACTATTTTGATATCTAGCGGGGCGATTGAGAGCAGGCTTTTGCGAAAGCAAACTCGGCCGTGAAAAGACACAAAAAATTACGTTTTCAATCACTGCACATCATCTGCCAAAAATACGGATCTGAAACACGCGCACCGACAGGGAACATGGAACAAAAGCCCGAACGCTGTGCGAAGAATCCTGGGTGCACGCTCGACATGAAAAGGAGAGACACACCGATAATAGAACAAACACAAAGCAGAGACATCACTTTGACTTAAACGGCTGGTAGGGCTTTGGCGGTCATACGTCATTGTAAAGATATGTTGGCCAACGGACGATGGCCAACTGATGACGGCCGATGGATGCTGCCGATGCCTAGAGAGACGCCTGAGAGTGTACACCCACTGCGGAGGTGGAGCTATAAGAATCGGCTCATGTTGGGGGGAGGGAGGCTCGATGGATTGTTGCATCACAGGAGGGTGGAAGAGTTATGGAGGCCTGAATGCAGCAGTGGACAAAGCGTGGCTGGTGATGATGAATGAAATGGCTTCAAGGCACGAGAGGTACTCCTAGTCACTGATAATAACAATACAACTGATTCTGGAAAAGGAACAGTAACCCTGAAACGTGACAATCAAATAGTCAGGAGTTGAGGGGGAGTATAGGAACTGAATTTGTTGGCCATAAACCCCACCCCATATAACTGCATTGGCTATTCCAGCAGCATTAAGGACAACCAGTGAATCTAGGTAATTGAATGAGAGTTAAGTAAATGCATCTTGCTTACAGCAACCATATTGTGATTATTAACAAAGTGTTTAATCACTACGCCCACATAAAAGCAATTGACTCAAGCCCACAATATTACTGACGACATGGTCATGTTAAGCGTGAGTGTTCATTGTCAATGGAATACAACTCAGTGCTAAAGACATCATTACCTTGAATTGTAAGCGAGTCCAAAATCGATGCACATTGCTCATCACCTTAAAATATCTTTGAACACGCAAAAAGATACTCAAACGACTTGAACGATGTTAACGATGGGGTTAAAACAACTCGTACATATTCTTGGTTCCTTCGGTAAAGTCACGTAGAAGGGAAACAATAAAATAATAAAAATCTAAAACAATAAAATTCTCAAGACGTTTCGACTGCAACACAAGCAATCATCATCAGGT